GATCAACGCCACTTAAATTAGTTGTAAAAATCACTAATTATTCGCCGAAATTTATTGTCTGTATTAAAAAACTTATAAACTTGGAGGTCAGGATATAATTATGAGTAAGAGACAGTTTTCACCATAGATTGAATCTAGTTAGCGAACTACCGAAAGGCAGATAGAACAGGACATTTGGTTCATTGTAGACTATGACTCCTTGGCTCTACTTATTCCCACCTCATCAGGAATCGTATTCTGAACCTCCGAACCTTAAAGTGAGTTATATATATATATATCCAAACTAATGTCAGCATCTTCTAATCTGTCCAGGAACCTGAAATCTGTGGATTTGACTCCCGATGGGGATACTGGCAAGGGGTCCCCAGAAATCTAGTTCTAGGATAAAATACCTGTCCGGTACTTTCAGATGTTCTTCATCCACAGTCATTCAATTGCAAAGTTAGACAATCTCATACTTCAATACTGGGAGCAATTGTTTAATAACTCTAAATTCTAACTAATAAAAGAATGAGTCTCAGAACCTATGATGGATTCGAACTTTAATATTAGTTTGTTTATTTGAAATGCCATATGTCAGTGCAGCATTATTGTCTGAAAAGTTAGTATTTGGTAGTATTTATTGCCTGTTAGGAATTCACAGTGACCATACAATTACAACACTTAATTCTATAAGTCCTAATACTTCAAGTCCTTCGAAGTCAATGGAGCCGTTCTTACTATATAAAATGGATGTGAATATCTGTTTACTTAAATAGAAACTGGTATAGGAAGAAGAGAGAGTACAATGATTTTCTGTTGTTTATGGGTATGAGACTATTTAAATTTATTATTTTGTTTACATATTGATGCAATATCGTTATGTACTCTGAACTTATTGGTTTAAGTGAGGGGCTTGTGCGTGAGCAGTATTTCCTTCTTTATACCAGAGTACAATAGAACCTCTCCCGAATCCAGTCTTTTCTGTCCAGCTTGGGTTCAATCGGTTTCACTTATTCCGAGAACCGTAAATTTGTATCACCTCGTTTGCGCAGCTATTTGACTGGTCCTCCCGGTTTCCCACACTGTCCGGGCATCCCATGTACCTATGTTAATTGTCGGTCTGGTTGTTAGAATAGACGTCAGTCTCGTGACTTCTAGAGAATCTCAGCTTTTATCATGGGGTGTCATAATTCTTCTAAATGAGGATCCTTGAACTCCCAAGGCAAAGTTTAAGTTACTTTTCCTGGTCAGCGTTTCTTTAGCTAGGTTTTTTTCTACAGGATGGGTTTGCTAATCCCATGACCAACCCTTCTCTTTTACCCGGGCTTGAGAGAGGCAGTAACTAAACTAAACTTGAATAACTGTATCAATTAGAGTAAAAAGATTGTTTGGTTAATTTTACATCACGATTTTAGATATTATAAGCAGAGATGGATGGTGGCTAGCAGTGGAATCCAGAACACGCTTTTCTGGGACTCATCAGATGGATGCGCCTGCATCCCAGAGTTGGTGTTTACTTCGGAACTCGAACCCAGTACCATTTACTTCAAACGCCATCGCGTTATCCAATTAGCTACTGAGTCCAGACAGCCACTAGCTTGTGCGATTGGTTGAAGCTTAATTTTTTCTAAAACATTGATTGATTGAATCTTCCAATTGTAATCCACACAGGATGCACATATGCCAATAAGAGAATAATTAATAGAAATCCTAAACATCAATGAGAATGTTCAAACAACCAATACAAAAAAAGATGCTAGATACTATTCCAAGAAATTGAAACTAATTTATAATTAGAATGAAAATTATTCGTCAGACCTATACTAGACTTTTCAGTGAAAATTCTGAAAAACTGATTAGTTTGAGACAGCATCAATATTTATTCCAATTAGGACGAATGTGACAAATCAGAAGTGAGAATAGCTGTTATATGTAGAATAGAAATCATCATACAGATAATAAGAAATGAACTATTGAGTTTTATCGAATTCCAATAATTAAAACACCACAGTATACTGCAAAAATCAATCAGTCAGTCATGAGTTGATTTAATGTAAGGAACCTAAACCACCACAATACAACACAGAAAAATATGATAAACTTCGAAAAATGACCACTTCTAATGTCAAGGGTACGGTTGTCTGCTTCATATCCGGGTTTTATTTCCAGAGAATCTATCTAGATTTTCCCACCAAATACTCATTTTTCATTTGATTTTACAATTATCTTTTACTCCTATATACTACAGAAATTGGTTAACAGATGTTGGTATATTTGTATGCCTATAAATAGCGTTATATATATTTATATGGAGAGAAAGGTCAGAAAGATAATGAATACAGATATACATGAAAGAACTTGATTAATGGTAGTCAAGATTAAATAAAAGATAGCTTGATAGAAAAAAAGATTTCACATTATAATGTCTTCAAACTTTTCCAAGTACTATTCAGCGGATGATGAGAATGTTTAGAACGAAACAGTAGTTATAACCTCTTATCACTTTAATTATGATATCAGACAATGAAAGGGAACTAAATTAAATGATTGATTAGAGTTCCATTTTATTAGGTAAGAAGAGATTTCAAATGTTTTGTATGATAACATGAACATAACTTGAAGAATAATTTAAAGACTAAAATTTTTTGAATAATTGTCAAGTTTTACAATCTAGTGACTTGGCAATATTCACCAATTAAAGATTAATTAATCGAACCAATCATCTTCAGACAATGTGGAATACAATAAACATGTTTAATGAATAATTTCGCACATAGATCTCAGTTAAATCAACATAGAAAATTATTAAAATTTTCTTTTTGAAATATTTGTTGATTGTATTATCGACTCATAAGTAGATGAGCTAAGAAATCTTCCGTGCTACCAATAAATATCATTGAATTATGGTGAGATGTAGCTCAAATAAATAAATTTAATATGCGCTAAGCTGAAAGTGTAATATAAGAACATCAAAAGTTTGACCCAGAGAAAATAGTAGTTCCTCTTTATTAAATGATAAGCGCAATGGAAGTATACCTATTAAATCTCAGGAGTGTTGAGTTTGTTCAAAGTGTAGTTTACGTTACGAATAAATGAAAAACAGAAAGATCCACTACTTAACTATCGATCTAACCTAGAATTTTTAATTTTCATAGTGAGAGGATTACTGTTAGACTGCTAAATTGAGGTTTAGTGTCCACATTTCTAAATTCAGTCAATTTATGATACTTTACGACTCATTCATCATAAATCGATAATAATAATTTAATTCATGACATAGTTGGACTCCATCATTCGAATTTCAGTAATTTGTCTCTAATTTAAACCTCAGTACTTGTATTGACTTCAAGATATTACTCCACTATTTTCCAAACTTGGAAGAAATCCAGTTTTCAAATTAATTAATTTACTAGTGCAATATCTTCCTTTGCATCGGCTGATTGATCAGTGGTTGTGTACAAAACGATTAGCTCTTCAACATTTTACACCCAAGTTCTTAAACTTCGATATGAACATATATACTGTGTGGGTATACCTTGCAACTTCTTTTATGTTTAATATTTATAGATAAAACTATTTCTGCAGTAAAAATAGTCTTTTTGCTATTTCGTTCACCGGAAGTAAAATATTTACCTTTAATAATAAAAACAATAATAATAATTATTATCAAAACGCTATTAATGCAACAACTACGCTTACAATTTTTGATAATTACTATTAGCGACTACCTGAAAAAATATAGATGAATGCACAAATAACGATAATTATGAGTAGTGTATAGTATCACATCGCTTGCTGAAACATTGAAGAGATTATATATATACTTTCACCTGATGATGATAGATGTACAAACTAATTGTTTTCCATATTGGTAATTTAAATTTTACTTCCGGTAATAATTAATCTGATTTTTTTTCGAACAAAATGAAGTAATTCCCATACAAAGACTACCCATGATTAATTAAAAGTCATTAAGTTGAAAGTCACTAAATATCGTTGGTGCGTACTACTGAGGAGTCTCATACTATGATGAAGAAGTCGTCCAGTGCTTTCAGATTTTCTATGGTGATTTAGTTTCAATTGACTCATGAATTCAACTATTAAAATATATTTGTACTTATTTACAAGTTTTTAAACTGTATACATAGATAAAACTTACAGAAACTAGATCAGATTTTGAGTAAGTTTGTGATGTATTAAAATTTAGGGACAAATACCATTCCAACGAATATGAACCGTCTATAATATATTTGCTTTGAAGAAGGTTGAGTAGGGTCATGGCTATTCCAATCTTTGAAAATAACATATACATCTGAAAAAGCATCAATTATTGGCTAGTCAGCTAATTGCCCCCAGATACCCTGATACGGCCGAAAGTGGAGCGAGTCAGCCCTCCCTCTCGAAATGCTCTCACATGGCCACGTGCATACAGCCAGTACCAAGGAAGTCCTACTCACTGCCTTCTCGCACCACGGGTATTGTTAACGAAATTGAGAGGATGAAAAGCGAATGTTCGGCGTTTTAACTGGGTTGGTGGACACGGAGGGTTCGCCTGGGAGATTGGGAAACCCTGATTTCAAACCAATGGTGCACATGGGCCCCAGGGTCCTGAGGGAACAAAAGGCATATGAACCCATTGTTGGTCGCCGCCGACCATGGGACTGCATCTCCTGACATTGCTCCACTGCCTTGAGGATCAGACCTTTAGGTCGAAAGCTCCGGGTATGGCCCCCAAGAAAACAACCTGCTTCGCTTTGGACACCCAGACAGTATCCAGTCCTCACACAAATCGAATGATTTATGTGGTGCATCCTTGTACCAATGTTTATGTGTTTAAACAAATAAAAATAAATAGTCAGTTAATTAGTAACCATTTGGAAGTCATGACAAGCAAATAAGAAAGGACATTATTGTTTTAATAGAGAATGCTCCAGAAATTAAAAGATGATTGTGTAAAAATCATTCATTGAAATATATTTTGATTGGAAACTAACTACACAAATGGAAAGGATGTCAATCAAATTTGAGGATTATATTTGATAAAAACATGACAAGATCAATAGTGTTGGCAACAACAACACTACGATATTGGAAAGGTTGATGACAAACATGATTTGAATTGACAAAATGTATAAGATTTTAAATTTTAAATGAAGCTTTTGGAGGTACAATATTTAAGTTGAAGAATAATTTAAAGGCGAATTGACATTAAAATCAGTTCATCCAATGGCCAAGTAAAGATGTTATATAAAAAAGATGTATAAATACAAATTACTGCTACTGTGGAGGCTTGAATTTGAGTTTTTTACGGCTACATTTAAGTAAAAGTTCTGACTTACAATTTGAAGAACTGAAATGTATCGGCAAATCGGTTTTTTGGAATTAAAATAAAGTTCTAATGGTTTTTAAATGTCAAATAATAAAACTCGATGATCAATATTGTAGAAGGAGAAAATTGAGGGTTCTTACATATCTTGTTGAGTATTACATAAATTCGTCATTAGCAATTAGTCTGGTTAATAAATAGTCTATTTATGAACCAGTCTCATTACTTTTTTTTAAACAATTGAGCTAATGGGATAAAATGCATTCTCTTTTCTCTTTCTTTTATATGTTTGAGCAGATTTTAGTATAAAAGTGAACACTTCCCAACAGCATCATCAATTCGTTGCATGTTTAAAAATTTATTTTGAATGAATATCAACACGAACATCATACATAAATAACATTTTTTGTAATATTACAATTGAATAGTAAAAATGAGAATTATTCACAATTTCTTCAAGCAATATAATCATATAGATTTCTATCTTGACCTGTTTTTAGATTACCAATATTGGCAGAAACACTTTAATTTGATGTTAGTTTTCTTTTAAATGGATAACTAACATTTTGAATAACAAGTGACTAATCCCAAGCTTTATTGATTTTCCATAAAGCAAGATGTAACTCACTGACTAGATGTATATTTCTTTACAAGGCTAAAATCCAGTTTTACGTGGTACTACAATACGATAGAGTACTAAATCCTCACAGATCAATTGTGTTTCAAACTCATCACATATAATTAGGTTCCTTTGTCCCATGTATCCTGTTCATATACTCTTCTGTACATATAAATCTCCAAAATACTTTACAACTAAAAGACTTATGGTCTAACATTTACCAGATAATGTGAAATCTAAACTAGAATGTGGAAGTTAATCTAATTAAAAGCCGAAGGTATTCGGTTAATAATGAGCACTTATTACGCCTCACTTGAATCAGCGAAGAATTTTCAGTTCTCATGGCTATCAGAATAAACCTAGACCCTTAAGTCGGAATTAGATGACTTACATTTAAAAGTTTAGTTAAGTTGCCATACTGTGCAACAATCATGTAGTGAAGTCAGTGACATCTATCATACTTTAGATGTACTTTAACGTCGTCAGTTATTGTTGCTCATTTGAATATCAGGAATTCGTATTAAAACTAGTCAGTAGAGGGCAAATAATTAAAATTATTTGAGTGAGGTGTTTTCGGATATTGCTCAGTTTGAAGTTAAGTTAATCTTCAGCATAGACCGATATCATTTCAAAACTGTTGAAAACAACTGAGCACTGGATAGCTGCCTTATCTTCCTGGAGTCTACAACCAACTGAATATATGAGCTCAGGTTATGTTTATTTTTTAAACACACTGCTTCCTGATCATCTTAAGTATTCATGCTAGTAGAGAAGATACACCGATTCTCCTGTTCACGGGAGTATATCTGTTCAGTTATCTATATATGCATTTCTTCGAATAAATACGAACATTTACCTGAAAGAAATGAAGCAGTATGTAAATACATGAGATAGTAAATCAAATGATAATCAAAAAAAGTTAATAATCATAATTTATATAAGTTTGAGATTAGTAGTAGTGTTCATCTTAGTAGTCAACTTGTATATCTACGAGTTAAGTGGCGGAAGGTGGGGTGGGAAAGGTTAGAAAGAGAGTGAAGGAATACTTGAATTCGATTTATTAAACTGACCACCTGGTAATGGATTGGCGTAAACATCAAATATATTATCACTGTTATCATTATTACTATTGCTACAACTACTGCAAACAAGAACAAACTCTATTTTGAGAGAACAAATAACACGAAGAGTTAGAAAATAAGTCTGTTATTTACCTTGGTTGATAGATAAAATCACCATCTGTCGATTATTAATAAAATTGATGAAATTTTTCTCTCATTTTCCTTCAATAGAAGTTAACTATCTTCCTTTTTTGTCCATGATTAATACAAGAATACATTTTCATACTTGTCTATTTTGATGCGTCTAAAGAAAGGATTATAGAAATTTACAGAGCTCCCAATCTTTGTGACAATTTACATTATGCCCATCGCTGTTTTAAGTGAAGCGCTTCAAGATTCATGTTTCTTAATATCAGACTGTTAAACTGACAATATAAATGGTTACAATCAGTATTCGTAATAGATGGCAATCAATAAACACTTGTGCGTTATTTTGTCTCGAAATCGGAAATACTTGGAATGCCGACGAAAACTATACTCTTTCAAAAATTTAGATCATGTAACATCTACTAGTCAGTTACTTTTTCTGAATTATGAGTAATACGATTGATGCACTATTGGATTAGACTAAATACACTAACATTTTGGTGAACAGTAATCAGTGTTCCGGAATCCAAGATACTTTTATAGACTGTTTTTAGCAAAGATATTCGATCTAGTTATTGGATAGTATGACGAATAAGATTTTCTGTTGGAACTTGTCAATAATCAGATATGAACTAAAATTTCTCATTGATTGATATGAATCAACTAATTTATCTTAACCATAACTATAAATCACTTAGCTCAGTAACTGTGTTCTATTTTTCTATTCAGAAGATTACGATTGAAATGGTCAATTAGAGTGTATTTAATTTAATCCAAGTCACCCATCATATACAAGCCTATACCTTGGGGCCTGACGATTTTCGCGAAAACGCGTCTGCTGGAATCGACGTAGGTAGAGAAAGATTCGGCCTTGCAACTAGATTGTAAAAAAGCGTTTGACCACATTGTCTTGGATGAGGCGCTGGAGTATGGCTTATCCAAAAAGAGAATAGTCTTTGTGTAGGCATTGATCTCTAATTGGAAATATCAAATTACCCGGTTTCGTCATGAAGCTTCGTCGACTTGGATCTCGTCATCTCTGCCCCCACCAAAATGAAACATATTTTAAGTCAAATTACTCAAGTTACTAACAAACACTAAGTAGTTAAGATATTAGTATGATTGAACAGCTTAAACAAAGTTGCTACCCGTCTTTGGAAAAGTAAACTTATAATAGAAATTCGCATAGTAAATTCCGTCCTACACTCTCTCCAAAACAACTTTTAGAACAATATGTACTATTGATTGGTGAAACTTGGGGCTGGTGTGATCTCTTATCATTAGACCAACTTGACAATTTATGCCATGTAACGTGTGAAAGCATTTGAGGAAAGTGAACGCTTGTTTGATAGGTGTCAGAAGCTTTGCTTAATTTGATATTTTACGGTTAATTTGTGAGAATAAATATATCTTGTAGCATGATCAACGAACTACTATGGTGTTTTACGTTACTTTTTATATTAATTTTCACTTGATAACATCTAAAATATGTAGGCGCAATAAATAATCTAGGTCTGTTTCGCAATATCGTTTCTTTGAGCTGAACAAGGCACCCTATGATCTTTATATATACAGCAGAGAATTGAACGCAGAACAAAATCATAAGATTCCCCACAAATGGTAAAATCCTTTAAGCAAATGAGGAAAATAGTGATGGATAAGCATGACAACTATAAGAGGATATCATTAAACTAGAATCTATGCTACTGCTACAACCTTGAACGGCAAGTTACTAGAATTCGGTCAACCCAACCACTCAAACCAAAGCACAATTAGAAGGAAAATCGAGTAATTAAACCACCAAGCTAGAGCTCTACGATGGCCGCGAACAGGATGAATGGACGGTTTATATGATTACAATTAGCGTAATTGTTCTCAGTTTACATGAGCCAATATATAGTACTCTCAAGTGTTGTATTGAAACAACTACTACAAAGACTGAGAAAAATTAATCCCAGCCTCTTCAATCTACCGGTAAAACGACCATATTTCAGACAGGAGTAACCTCTACTCCTAATTTGTTATCATCCATAGGGATGATCATTAAAATTTGTCAAGAAACAGATAACATCTTCAGTTTTTCTAAGATATCCTCAGCTTTACGAGAAAATGGGAATGAACATACAGCTTCTATGACCAGTCGACATGGTGTATTGGTAGACCATGACATTAAGTTAAAGAACAAACCCACTGTTTAAGGTCTGTGTGCTAGTCACGTTAAATTGCTCTTGTCTAAATTTAGCATTTTTTAGGAACATACGGGTAACAGAAGTTAGTTTTAACTAGTTTTCACTGGTTTGGAATACCTTAGTTTATACTTCAGTGTATTCCTGCACAGTTTAGTCAACTTGCAATAAGGTCGCTTATAACAATTGCTACAAACGCATGTGCATGCGAATTTTAGGAAGAATCCTCGTATTACTTTGGTTCAGCTGTAATTAGTGAAAGTGCCTTAGGAAATAACAAATGACAGTACTCCCCCTCGATCTTTTACGGTGCCATTCGACCGAACAGATAACAAATAACTATTAATTGCAATTAAGTACACAAGTTAAAGTTTTGTCTTTCAACTCAATGTTATACCTGTAGTCTTTTTTTCAACCTTTCATTCTTTTATAGAAAAAATAGACTCGCTAAAAACCTTAATTGTTTGTTTAAAAAAATAATATCAATACAGTCAGGTATCCTCCACAGTATGATTTAGTCATGTAGTCTGAGATTTTCTTCGTTTGTTCTTTAACCGACTTGCCAGGGATAGTAGAAACTTAAGGAGTAAGTGTTGGAGATAATATAGCCTGCTAGGATAACCTAACTACTGGCTTAAAATCAATTATCTTGATGCAAATGTTGCAGCTTTTTAATTAACGGATATCTGATGAAATCACTTCTAAGAGTTTAAACAATGTAGTTAGGAATGAAAAAACCTACCGGTTAAACTAACCTCTTCGCTGTGCAATGCGTAAAAAGGATTAATTCAGTTAACCAATATTTAACCTAAACCTTAAATATTTACTAAATTTGGTCCGAACAACCGAGTATAATCGCTAGTCGAATTACAGCAAAATAGTGAGAGTTAATACTGTGCGTTTATTGCATTTCAATACACCTACAATACCAAATCATAACAACCAATAAGTAAACTTTTACAAAATGTAGAAAATAAAAAAATTACACATTGGTTATAGAAGCTTGTTTTACTCGCAGGACTACAGGAACAGAGGTTGTAGGTAAGGTGCCCTTTTCAGTTACTACAGCTGTAACCAATGTAGGCGGTAACACATCATATTCTAAATGTAACAGTCTAAGACTATAATTTGAACGCCATTCACTCAAATCAGTTGTAGAAGATTCAATTCTATCTGGAAGTCCAGTTGGACCGAAACCAGGAATGCCCTTTTTATAGTCTGGTGATGTACCTCGTGGACCTCGCCAAATGTCGTCAGGATCTCCAAGTTCGTTATACTCGAATGCATCAGAATGGGCGCGCTCCCAAAATTTGTAAGTTTCAGCACAGACTATTGTTGGAGCATGAGAAATAGAGGCTGCAATGTTGGCTACTTGAGCGCTCCCCATACGACCTAGTACGTAGCCATTGCTAAGAAGAGCATGGGCGCCCAGAATAACTAGAGATATCTATATTTCAAATCAAAATAAATAAAAAGTAATCAATACTTAGTTTGAAAGCGAATGTTACACTGTTAACGAATGAAAACCAGAAACACAAGACATATCTTGCAACGAAGAAATTTGATTTTCAATCATATTAGAATAATCCAACAAACGTTGTTAAAAGTAGGACAGTATATTAAAGATCAACCTGAGATAAATTTACCATACACAAATGAATTTTAGTCGAGATTTACTTCAGTATGGTATGGTAATCTTAATTCATTTTGTGTACCAGAGGATAGATGTAGACTGTGTAACAAAAGCTATGCCATGTAAGTGCTTTAGCAACAAATAATGAGACCTCTCGACAAGAAATTAACCGGTGAAACCATTTTTTACGGAATATTTAGTAATAATTTAAATCTAAATTGTATGTTAACTCCGCCTGGAGTCCCTCCGGGGGCTACTGCCGGTCCCAAGCCCGGATAAAGGAGGAGGGTTGAGCATGGGGTTAGCGTCCCCATCCCGTAGAAAACTAACTCGCTAAAAAAACGGTAACCAGAAAAAATTATTCAAACCTTTTAAACTCTGCCCTGGGAGTCAGAAGGTCTTCATTTAGAAGAATTATGACGCCTCATGATGAAAGCCGAATTCCTTCGGAAGTTACGAGGCCGATGTCCCTTCTGACAACCAGAGCGACCATTTATTTAGGTACATGGAATGTTCGTACAATGTGGGACACCGGGAGAGCCTTCCAAATTGCTGCAGAAATGAGAAGATACAACCTAGAGGTACTTGGGATCAGTGAAACACATTGGACACAAGTTGGACAACAAAGACTAACTACAGGAGGGCTCCTGTTATACTCCGGTCATGAAGAAGAAAATGCACCACATACACAAGGAGTTGCATTGGTGCTGTCCGAAAAAGCGCAAAATGCGCTTATAGGATGGGAATCTCATGGACCAAGGATCATCAAAGCCTCGTTCAAAACAAAGAAGGAGGGTATTTCAATGAACATCATCCAATGCTATGCGTCTACCAACGACTACAATGAAGACGCTAAAGATCGATTCTACAATAGGCTGCAGTCAATCATCGAGAAGTGCCCAACAAAGGACCTGACCATTATGATGGGGGATTTCAATGCCAAGGTTGGAACGGACAACACTGGATATGAAGACATCATGGGACGACACGGACTTGGAGAAAGAAACGAAAATGGTGAGAGATTTGCAAATCTATGTGCCTTCAATAAGCTGGTCATAGGCAGCACCATATTCCCACATAAACACATACACAAAACCACATGGACTTCACCGGATCACTCTACACAAAACCAAATCGACCATATTTGCATCAACAAAACGTTCAGGAGGATTATATAGGACGTGAGAACCAAGAGAGGAGCTGATATAGAATCAGACCTTCACTTGCTGGTCGCCAAGATGAAGTTGAAACTCAAGAAACACTGGACAACGGGGCGGACAATATCACAAAAGTTCAATACGGCCTTTCTTCAGGATACTAACAAACTCAACAAATTCAAGATAGTCCTCAGCAATAAGTTCCAGGCCTTTCATGATCTACTCAACAGAGAAGGAAGTACTATGGAGAGCAACTGGAAGGGGATCAAAGAGGCAATCACTTTAACATGTCATGAGGTCCTTAGCCACAAGAAGCACCATCACAAGGAATAGATCACTGTCGATACACTGGATAAGATTCAAGAAAGGAGGAACAAGAAAGCAGCAATCAATACCAGTCGAACAAGAGCAGAAAAAGCCAAGGCACAAGCTGAATACACAGAAGTAAACAAACAAGTGAACAGGAGCATCAGAACCGACAAACGTAAATATGTGGAAGATTTAGCAATGACGGCAGAAAAGGCTGCAAGAGAAGGAAACATGAGACAATTGTATGACACGACAAAGAAACTCTCTGGAAATCGCCGCAAACCAGAACGACCAGTGAAAAGCAAGGAAGGCGAGGTAATCACCAACATTGAAGAGCAACAAAACAGGTGGGTAGAACACTTCGAAGAACTCTTGAATCGACCAGCTCCACTGAACCCACCCAACATCGAAGCAGCACCCACGGACCTCCCAATCAATGTTGGCCCACCAACAATTGAAGAAATCAGCATGGCCATCAGACAGATCAAGAGTGGCAAAGCAGCAGGACCGGACAACATCCCAGCAGAGGCACTAAAAGAAGACGTAGCGGCAACTGCAAGGATACTCCATATTCTCTTCAATAAGATTTGGGATGAGGAACAAGTACCAACAGACTGGAAAGAAGGACTTCTGATTAAAATACCGAAGAAAGGCGATCTCAGCAACTGTGATAACTACAGAGGCATCACTCTTCTCTCAATACCAGGAAAAGTCTTCAACAGGGTATTGTTAAACAGGATGAAGGACTGCGTAGACGCCCAACTTCGTGACCAACAGGCAGGATTCCGTAAGGATAGATCGTGTACAGACCAAATCACAACTCTACGGATCATTGTGGAACAATCAATTGAATGGAATTCATCACTCTACATCAACTTCATTGACTACAAAAAGGCACTTGATAGCGTGGACAGAACAACACTATGGGGGCTTCTTCGACACTACGGCGTGCCCCAGAAGATAGTCAATATCATACAGAACTCATATGATGGATTACACTGCAAAATTGTGCATGGAGGACAGTTGACAAAGTCGTTCGAAGTGAAGACCGGTGTTAGGCAAGGTTGCTTACTCTCACCCTTCCTCTTTCTCCTGGTGATCGACTGGATCATGAAGACTTCAACGTCTGAAGGGAAGCGTGGGATACGATGGACATCTAAGATGCAGTTGGATGACCTAGACTTCGCAGACAGTCTGGCCCTTCTATCCCAAACGCAACAACAGATGCAGGAGAAGACGAACAGTGTGGCAGCAGCCTTAGCAGCAGTAGGTCTCAATATACACAAAGGGAAAAGCAGGATTCTCCGATACAACACAGAATGCACCAATCCAATCACAATTGACGGAGACGATTTGCAAGATGTAAAAACCTTTACGTATTTGGGCAGCATCATTGATGAACAGGGTGGATCTGATGCAGATGTGAAGGCGCGGATCGGCAAAGCAAGAGCAGCATATTTACAACTGAGGAACATCTGGAACTCAAAGCAACTGTCAACCAACACCAAGGTCAGGATTTTCAATACAAATGTTAAGACAATTCTACTGTATGGGGCGGAAACCTGGAGAACTACGAAAGCCATCATCCAGAAAATACAGGTGTTTATTAACAGTTGTCTACGCAAAATACTTCAGATCCATTGGTCGGACACTATTAGCAACAACGTACTGTGGGAGAGAACAAACCAGATCCCAGTGGAGTAAGAAATCAGGAAGAAGCGCTAGAAGTGGATTTGACACACATTGAGGAAAGAACCCAATTGCGTCTTAAGACAAGCTCTCACATGGAATCCCCAAGGCCAAAGGAAAAGAGGAAGACCAAAGAACACATTACGCCGAGAAATGGAGATAGACATGAGAAAAATGAACAAGAATTGGATAGAACTAGAAAAGAAGGACCAGGACAGAGTGGGTTGGAGAATGCTGGTCAACGGCCTATGCTCCATTGGGAGTAACAGGCGGAAGTAAGTAAATTGTATGTTGTATCACTACATGTCTTTGATTTATAAGAAATTGTATTCCAGCAATTTATCCTCGTACGAGTAATCGAGGAATATATGGTATGTAGACATGACTAAGAAAAATCTTGAATGAAGGTGGTAAATCAGTTAATGTGGTTTTGAACCTATGTTGACAGGGGTAGTTGGAATGTGTACTATCCTACTATCATTATATATTTTTGAGTATTGAATGATGTTATACTACACTTCTCATTCTGATCTAATTCGCTTAGTGTTGATGTAATTTTCCATCAGTCAGTAGTGTAACGTGCAACACTGTGGACTGATACACTCGAGTCAGGTTTAATGCCGTTCATGCCTGTCTTCATTAGTTGATTTGCTTCTAATTATCCAACCTTAGTGATCATTAATTTTCCATCCAGTTACGTAGATAAACAACTTATAGGTCAGCTTTTAGCTGTCACAATATTACAATGAGTTGTGCAATAGACAGTAGTGTAGAAGAATCCAGTCATCATGATTACTGAATATTATAATGACATACAGAAAATGGTGCACTTCCACAATGAGTTTCAATATGTACCAAAACATTTCTCCCCGACAGCAAACAACCAAAAGTTATTATTACTGAAGAAGTATATGACAGAATTCGTTTATTCCACTGTTTTCAGCAATTCTTACTTTGATATGACGATAACTTCTCAGTTTGGGGAGTAAGTCATTACAATATCTGTATATTTTTAACCTGGTTTTTCATCAACAAAAAACTCAGTTTTAATCCGTGTTTTACTCGAAATGATAATACTAAAGTTTACCCGAAATGGAAATATACTACCAGAATTCCTAACATAAAAATAAAGAACCTTGATTAACAGTTTTCTGTTTAGCGAAGACAACTTATTTGAGAGAAGTGAACTCCAAGGAATTTGGTACCGTGGTAATTATTTGTATTCTTAGTTTGCGCCAGAACACTGGTTTCTGAAATTAAGTCGGAGAAGTATTATAAGCATATTCTGCTGTCTCTGTTTCCTCGAGTGAACTGACGATAATAATACCTAACTTTTGAGTACCCACTTTGATGATAGTCAAATTATATGACTGTATTAAACAACCATTTGCGATAAAGTATATGAACCGGATAGGAACACGTGAACGGATTGAATACGATTAACTCATGTATTTATTCAAAGTATGTAACAAGCTTGTATTTAGTGTAAAAGCTTGGTAATTTCGGGTGTTAAAACTTATCCATTACACATGTATATGTTAATTACACAGAAGTGAAAATTATTAGGGTTAGTAAAACATTTTTACACACTATTATCCAAAAGTAAACTTATTCATACCTTATTTGCAACACTTGGCAATGCACCAATATGTGTATATTCACATGGTATTCCTGCTTTCAACAATCTGGTTAGCATTTGTCTACCTTCAAATTTCGGTCGAGAGTCAACAACCAAAACACTAAAAACTCTGTTTGTAGTTTTATTTGATGGATCCGATTTAGTGTTTACAAAACATGTTTTCATTTTGTCCGCTAAAAAATCAACATTTGCATCAACTTGATTGACAGATGTGTTGCATGGAGATTTCCATGCACGTTCCAGCACACGGGCTACCAAGGATGAATATCCAAATATACAAACACATTCACCAGAACGAATCAAATTAACTGTACGATCTACAATTTCATCTCCTGCCAAGTAAATTGAACCACGTCTAAATTCGACGATGGCTGATAAAAAACTGCCTCTGCACTAAATATACAAAAATAGATTGACGTTGGTTATATGTAATGATATAATGCTGTAAAGTTGTTACGTCCTTATTAATGTTGTTGTTCAGTTATGTTCAAAATAAGTCCCAGAGTAATTTTTAAAAGCATGTAACTTACTTATCAAGAACAGGTTTATATACTCGGCGTTGACCCACACATTGTCGTTTCAACCTTGTAATACGAGCTTGAGACAATCATCAGTGACTTTGGTTAATTCGAATAGTGTTGTCACTAACTATAAAATTAGCTCATCTAATTGTAATGACTGTTTTACATTAGCTACGAAAAAGTGAAAACCATGTAATACATTCCTTCTTTAATAAGCGTGAACACTTTTCACTTGCGCTAGAAGTAAAAATTGAACAAACATATGTATGGGCAGAAACCTCATCAATTATTTGAAAACCAGGGCTCAACTATGCAACAAGACTACTAAAGCAGGCATTTGATTTTTGTTAAAGGTTTCATTTCATGGAAATATGTTGCTTATTTGACGTAGAGCGACTAAAGAACATCTGTATGAAAGAAAGTGGTGTTTTTAGTCAAACACTAACCGAACAGTGATAACCCCGTTGAAAATACTAGATGTAGTTACTTCCCATGATAGCTTACCACCACCTTCGGAACGACCAATATTACCAACCATAAAGGTCTGGCAGACGTATGATTTTATGGCCAGATATGCTGTTTAATGACACAGTTAAGAGGCTTCTATAGAACGCCAACTATCGCCTGCAAGTCAAGGACTATGGCTAGTGTACAGAACAGAAAAGTGAAGTTGTTTCAGTAACTTATACATTATTGACCAAGGAAGTTTGACTTTTCAGTGTTGGCTATTTGTGCTTCAATCAGTCATTGAGTGATCATGGATGCAAGTCATCCACAGTTAGTCATTATGAATATCAAACTTGGCACGAGTATGCATTGGTCCAAGTTGGTGCACCTTACATCACTGCGAGAAAGCAGCAAGACAAAAAACACTATGAAAGATAATATCGAAAGCAGCGGAATTCTAAACACGAGGAACACAGCTGAAAAGAAACAAATGATACTAAAGACTGAAGCTAAAGATGATAATAAACTAATGACTTGGAGGGACACACAAAATAAATGTAACCCTAGCAGTAACTGGTTTTGGGGTAGATAACTAAGTGTCTTATGATATTGGCTGCAACTATTGTATCAGTCCCAGCCAAAAAGTCTGGAACTTATGACAGCTCGAACCATCAGTCAGAGAAATCATGTCGTCTCGGTTTTCTCACCAATAAATCTTTCTTAACTCACTCATATCACAGTTAACACTGAAGGCTGGGGTAAAAGTTAGTTAGCCATCCATAACATATTTGCTAATTGTTGGTCAACGTAAGTTTATAAACTCAACAATGGACTCGCTTTTCACTTAGTATCCTGGCTTAACCTTAGTACTACTAATTCGATGGTTTTACTATATGTGAGAGATGTTTCGAAAACATTTATGACCAAACACTTCAGGCCTATTTATGTCTTTTAATTACATAGTCCATGTTTCTTTGTCGTAGCGAGAGATTGAGGAAAGTGATACAGTTAATGTTAACAATGGGGAGCAAACCAGGAAATCCAAAAACATTTATAAGAGTATAACATACAATCATAAAATATCATACCTCATCCCAATCTTCCACGGAATCTAGGCGAGTAAGCGTCTGCTTCAGATACTGATATGCATTATGTATCGTAACAGATAATGGACGACAAAGCTGAAGAAAGTTCACATGAGCTTGCAAAACTGGTCCGAAACTCCGGCAAAACAGAGCATCATTTGTTCCAGTGTGATTGTTCATTCTTTCGGTAGGTGACTTCGGAATGAATGAACGTATGAGTTCTTCACATGACGACAAAAACGCTAAACACTTCTCATTGGAGCCCCATATTCGATCTTCGTCAAAATCGACACCTAGAGTGAGGAATGAAGGATGGATTGAGGAACGAGTCCCTAAACTGAATAAAGAAAAATAAGGTAATGCATAGGGTAAATGGGACAACTTTGATAAAATACTTCAGCTCAAGCGAATAACATGAAAAAAAAACAACACTTAGGGATCATTAGTAAAAATTGGTGAACATTATTCAGATATATCAACTTTACTAAAACGAAATAAACTGATTTGATATAACTAACAGTCGCCAAAGTTTGACTTTTCAACTTACTGATCAGGTTAGCATGTACTAGTGACCCTGAAACAAAAGCTTAAATACTCGACTATACTCCTCAGAGGTTTAGATGTTATATTAAAGGACATTTTTGAGTCACCAATTCATACTTTTATGATGTACACATGCTGGAAATATTTCAATATTGAAATCGAGTAGTTCTACACCTATTCTAATTATTCGAACCACTAAAATAGATTCAGACATGGTAGTTATACAAGTAATCTGAAAACAACTCACCGCCTTATGGGTCAATGAAGGAATGATATTCAGACTTGCAAACGACTTCCTGCACTGAACAAAACTTAGAGGTCTTAAAGCTAACTACGAACTTTTTTCACATTATAGACCATGTAAAGACGGAATAGCTGCTACATTTTATTTAACAGAATACTTTGATTTCATGTGATTACCAATAAATGGGGATAAGTCTCAAGATGAACAACATTGTAAGAACGAAACTCTGCCAAATCACTAGCCTGTGAAGTACTAGACATTTTTACTTAGATATAAATATAACCTACATTTACAGAGAGGAATAATAAAGAGGTGAAAGTGAAAACCTAACATAATACTTCCTCTTTACTATAAGTGAGTCACCAAGCATGTCTAAGGAGTTTACCAGGAAGTGGAACTGCAGCATAACCAAGCTGCTTCAATTTTAAAGGGTACATATAAATTAAGTTGACTACCCGCAGAGTATGGATAAAATGAGAATAGCAGTCGCAACTCAACTAGTTTAGAACACTAATGACATTGAGATGAAAACTGCACCTGATGTTCATGACTGACTAAAGTTTATGTCGCATAGATGCTAAGATAAGTACATAAGGAAATCTACATACCCAAGATAACTGATAACATTTACTCGCTTGTCTGGTTGGTCAAGATGCTTGAAGAGGTGAACGCGACAGGACTCCTGTGTTCTGGACTTCGGAACTTCGGCAATTTTAAGGCTGGAATAATCGAGGCGGTTATTTTGACCTGAGTGGAGAAAATAACGAAAATACAGCTAGTCTCACTTTGCACCACACCGATACATGCTTTCTCATCCATAGAGGAAATAGTCTTTTGTTCATCCATGCCTGTGTCCTGATTTGGGTGAGTATTTGGTGCATCTGTATTGAGAATATTTAAAACTAGAGACCAATATTTATTATCATACTACTAGGAGCGGCATTTGGTGTTTGCGTGACTTTTGGCTTGTCAGTACCTTTAGAAGCAGCCTTCGCAGCTCTTTGAGCTTCCTTGTATTATAGTTAAAGTTATTAGGATCTTACTTGAATAGCCCTCCTTTCAGCTTTAAGCTGAGCTTTGGATTTTGTATTATCTTCTTTGCTTACTGAATCTTTCATTGACAGCAACCCAGTAGCGCACATAACCGTAAAATGAACTGTGTCAGTTCAATATGCAAGAAACAAATGGTTCAAATGGTTCAAATGGTTGTGGACGGAATAGAAGAAGCTTTCGCTTAACAGGCTTCCGTGTCTAGTAGCAGGGGATCACGAAATCCTCCAGGCAGGAACCTAGGTATGTTAACAATAAAAAAGGAAAAGAAATTGGTAAATCATAATGTGATGCTGTCCTTGGTCCTTAAGAATAGGTCAAGTTGCCTCTTGAAGGACTCCTGAGAAGTCGCTTGGACTAGCTCAGCCGGCAGCGAATTCCAGCTTTCGACAACTCTTAAGGAGTAGAAGTTGTGTCTACATTCCGTCTTGCTATGTTGTGTTTCCAGTTCCTGGGTGTTACCCCTTAGGTTATTATTCGAACTAAGCTTAATTAGGTGTTTAAGAGGATGTCCAGAAGTGTTAAGAATGCTATAAGCCATTAGTAAATCACCTCTAAGACGCCTATATTCTAGTGGGTAAAGGTCTAGTGAACGGAGGCGTTCTTCGTAAGGTTTAGATTTGAGTCCTCGAACTGATTTCGTGGCTCGCCGTTGGATACGCTCCAAAGTGACTTTGTCCTTATGGAGTGAGGGGGGGAGTACTATGTTTCCGTACTCTAAATGGGGACGGATGAAACTATTGAAGATTGTGTGGAAAGTTCTTCCGTCAAACTGGCCAAAAATGCGCTTCAACGTTACCAGTGCAAGGTTTGCTCGGAAGGCATTTTTGTCACAGTTAGCGTAAGACTTTAAGTCATGGGGCACCAGGACTCCTAAATATTTTTCGACTTGGGATACTACTAGAGAGGAGTTTCCTAAGTTGTAACTGTAGTTTGCGACATGTCGCAGATGGACTACTTTACACTTTGAAGTGTTAAAGGTATGTCCGTTATCGTCTGCCCAACTTTGAAGTCGCGTCAGATCCTTCTAAAGTGCCTGTGTATCGTCTTGGTTGCGTATCTCTCTCCAAAGTTTCACGTCGTCGGCAAAAAGTAATAAGTCTGACGTTACCTGTTGAGGAAGATCATTTATGTAGATCAAGAAGAGAAGAGGCCCTAGTACTGAGCCCTGGGGGACCCCACTAGGACATTCCATAGCCTGAGATAAAGTGGAATTAACCCTAACCTTAAAGTGTCGATTTTTTAGGTATGAAGTAAGCCAATCGATTAGAGGTGGTTTGATACCTAGTCGTTTGAGCTTGTTGATAAGACACAAGTGGTTAACCTTATCAAAAGCTTTTGAGAAATCAAGGTAAATGACGTCAACCTTTCCCTTGCAATCGAGGATGCATGTCCATTTGTCCACCGCAGTCAGCAGGTTGGTTATACAAGAGTAACCCTTCCTGAAACCATGCTGTTGGGGTGAGAAGAAATTTAAGGACAGTAGATAGTCATTTAAACCGTCGCATATCAGGGACTCCATGAGTTTTGAAGGTAATGACAGAAGAGCCACCGGCCGATAACTTGAAGGTTCATTGCGTCGACCACCTTTGAAAATTGGTGTGATGTGAGCCAACTTCCAGTTTTCCGGTAATTTGCCTCGGCTAAGCGAATGTGAAAACATCACGCTAAGCGGCGTTGCCAGGATTGAGGCTGCCTCCCTCAGTATGGCAGGATGAACCATATCCGGGCCAGGAGAAGTGTCAAGTCTTAAGTGCTGCAATTTCCGGAACACCAAGTCAGCGCTTAGGTCCACTTCAGAAAGTCCTGTGGAGTTGGAGATGAAACTGTCGTCAATAAAGTTGATGTCAGCCGGTTGAAATGTTTGAGAGTAATGGGCCGCCAGAAGGTTAGCGGCGTCGCCATCGTTGTTGGTTGGGCCGTTAAGACCTAGCAGTTGAGAAACTCCTGTTTTGGCTTGACGAAGAGAGGCTGCGTAACGGAATAGGCTTCTAGGGTTAGAGGCGAATTTGTCCATAAGCTTTGTTTGGTACTGAAGCCTGTCTTCTCTTATAGCCTTCGTGCATGTGTTCCTGATATGTTAGAAATTAACTTCAAATGAATGTGGAATGTAAAGTAATATATTTCCACTTTTACTGGTAACAAGCTGTTTGAAAATCTTGTAAAGACATATTTTACCCATTTTTTGTCTAGTTATCTTTCAGGAAAGGCCATCTCAATTGATAAACTATTTGTGTAGGAATAAATAATTCTGAAGGACTAGACAAAGCAGCCATAACTGAAAAAACTTCGTAAATTCTATCCAGAAGTGTACTACCGTGATATTCGGCTGAACCAATGATTCTTTTGTACTTGATGTGTATCTGAATTTGAATTCCAAATACAGTACGTTCATTTGTGCCCACCTAGTTCTGTCTGACCCAAATTGCGACATTTGGGGGGTTCCTGGTCCTTATAATGATTCAAATATTTCTACTTACCACAATTAGACAGACCAAAATACAATAATATGCAACGTCAGTCGGTAACAAACAGACATAATGTAAAACATTTGTGAAAAAGTATTATATTGAGAAAACCATTACGACCAGGGTTATCTGTCCGGTGAGCAGAAAGTGCCAGATACGCCATATGGATTTTTAGCCTCTCTTCTAAAATCCCGAAGTGAGCTTTCAGTAACACTACTCTTCGCGACGTCACACTTATTGCTTTTGGGCGCTGAATGTGCAGTACTCCACAAGTAGCCGTAGCTTATTTGTTCTTCATTCTAACCATCTGAATGACGTCCGTTTATTCTTAGTCCATTCTTAACCAAACATTACCTAATAAAAGTCAAGATATTAAAATATGTTGGACGCCTATCTTCACAGTGATTAGTTTTAGAGGAACCAAAGGTTTATGGGCTTGCGAATTAAGGATTTTTATTTTAAAAAATAATTTGGAATAAAGTAAGGCAGATTGTCAATAATAAAGTTGGTTTCAAGAGGGTTTAAAAATTATTTGATAATATACTAGACCTAGTACGTCACATAAAATATGTTTATTCCTACCTTACCTTGTCTAAATCTAGATCAATTGTTTAACCTTATTAATAGTGACATGTCGAGCTAGTCCCTCCTAGCATTAGAATGTCTAGTGCTGAAGATTTATTGATGAATCCTTTCAGTGTGCACGAGAGGAAAAAGAATTATTTGGGAAACGATTTCAATTCATTTTACATATTCATGTGTTTTGGTCGATTGTTACGTAAACAGCACAACACTAAACTGCACTACTATTACGACCGAACTACAAATATTTGGTCTGAATACAGTAAACAAACCAGCTGACGAGAGTTTATTTGATCGTACTAAAGTACGTTCCTCTGTGTGGTATACGAAGGCTTTATGAATAACTCCTTCCTATGGTTATATGAAAACACGTAGTTTGTGCCTAATTTACACGATTCTCTACGATGCTGTCCCCAAAATACATTGAAAGGTGTTTTTTTAGCATGAAATAGCATTCTGGCAATCAAAAGAACTATTTCTAACAAGATGGTATTAGATTTCTACCTTCAATCATTTAAATGGCACCACGACCAGACAGTCAGAGAGCAACAACGATCAACTTCTCCTCGCAGTAACCTTGATCTCAGTCAAACGAGACCTTATTGACAATGGCTCATCGTCATGCAGCAACAAAATTAAATAATGAAGGCTTGGATGAATAAACCCAGGAAATACAAGCATATGGTTTAAAACATTTGAGTAAAAGTTAAAACAAAATACAAGGTGAAAGAATAAAGAGATAACAATACTGTCGAACGAAATAATTTAAAGGGATTCTCACGGTACTTAGTCTGTTATAACTACCTAAAACGAATTGGTTCTTCCAATTACTTTGATCATGAGAATGACGTGACGAATTCAAGTAGATTTCTCTGTTATTATCTCGCGCACTTCTTTTTACTGAATAACTTCGCCACGTTCGCTGCGGAACTTACATATGGTTTGGGAGCTTAGAAGTTATATTGTATTGGAATAAAAAATCGTCATTCATATCAAGGTGTATTGTATTCTAATAATGAAATATTTAGCTGTCACGACAGTACTGTCCTATACATCTATCATATACTTTCGTTTTAACATTGTTTGCTCATACATGACTCATCGAAAAAAACACCCAATTCCTTGTCCGTTTCCTTAAAAACGACTTATGGTTCGATATCATTTTTACCGGTCACCTCCCATCCGCTGAATCATATGTTAAGATAACTTATTTATGTTGTTAAACAGAAAATCGTTTTCTCCTCGTGAATTTTAGAGCTCATGAATTTTTGCATCCATCAACTAGAAACATTAAAAATGATACATAGTTGTCTATTTATTGTGATTTCCATTGAATGGTATGCCTAGCGTTTTTACTCACGTAGAAATTATATGTGCATACATTTTGTATGTTTTTTATACTCGTTAAGATAACTGACACTGCTATAAATAGCGAAACATTTTGGTTCCTCTAACACATGGTCAACAAATAAATTTATTCCATTTTTGTTTCCAAATTTACGAACAACCAATATGATATACACCCGAATCCAGTCTATGTGACCTAATGCCTAAATATTTAGCTTAATACAATTAAACCGCAAAGGTAGCGATTGGCATCACTCCGCGCCAATAACCTCGTAGTTCGACATCGCCAAACGAGGTATCGATATATTGTGACAGATAACTAATGTGTACATGAATAATTCGTAGTTTAGCGGTAAAGGTCTTTGTATCTGTCTCTATCAGTAACAATCAAACTGTAATAATTGACTTGAAAATTTACAATTCATTTTTGCCAAGGCATCAAAAACATGCACTATCTGTCACATACTTTTGTTATACAGATGATTGTGAACAGGCTCATAAATTCTGATTTCGAATTCGCTTTTAATTTACCTTGATAACTAACTTATACCATGTGTACTCTAACGTCTTAACAACTATGCCTCACTTTCTTATTGTATCTTAATGTACTCACACTTATAATTTCAATATTTTACCTTAAGTGTTCGTCGTTCACAATGTTTCGTAACATAAAGTTCGCTTGAGTTATATTTATTAGTGGTAAAATACTATTACTTAACTGTGTTATAGGACTTTGTTATTCATTCACAGAGTAGTAGGTTTTATCCATATGCATCTAGTTTCATTTTAGTCGAACGGACTGGACTTTGGGGAGCTAGATTTGATTAAGGCGCAAGCAATCAGTAGTGGTCCTTGATCTACTAATTTTATGATAAGATATTTTTCAGTGAATTGCTATAATGTCATTTATTTAGCAGCATACTTAACACAGTTAAAACAAGAGATGAATACACTTTGTTGGAGATTTCATTCGTACTCTAAACTTATTTTCAAGTCACGTGTAGCATGATCACTTTCATCTCCCTTCATAATCACATTGAATTGAGCTACCTGGAAAATAAAAAAAGTGGCTTAAAGTTCATGTCATTCTCAAAGGTTTACTAGATGTCGCAGAATTCCAATTAAAACGGACATTGAGTATTCTGTCATAAGTAAGATGTGCAAATTCAATTAACAAAGCTGTTAACACTGCTACAACGGTTTGCACTTTATCCAAAGAGCCTATAAAACAAGGAAAGGATAAAAATTTACAAGTTTAATGTGAGTTCATCATTATTTAGTCAAGCCCAAGTCCCTATAAAATTAAAACATCAAGTGTTTGGCATGCTTATTTTTCAGACAGACATTATTATAAACAACGAAGTGAAATTTCAGAACATCTTTTGTATATCTATATATATTGTACGCTAAGAGTAAGCATTGCAAAAAATATTTTGGAATACTTTCCAGACGCTACACTTGTGATAAGTTTTCCACGGCAAACCAAATGCAGGATAAATACTGGAAGTTCAAGGATGAAATTTTCCTCGACCTAAGTTCAAATCCTGGGTTTAACAGATGAATTAAAATCTGGTAAAAATGAGTGGTATTAATAATAACACCGCGTACTAAATTAAATACTTCGAGTTTCAGCCTTGGCAGTGGCCCCGTGGATTGTAACATTGCAGTCTGTAACTCCCATGTATGTGATGTCAATAAAGCCGAATGAGAAAAGATCCTCAAAAATGCAAAACTAGAAAAAAAGAAATAAGGATTTCGTTTTTTGAGCTGCCTAACTTTATGATATTGACGATATATCAGTTTCATACATAACAGTCCTTTAGAACGCAATAAAAACTCTGTACAATTGATTTGAAAATAAAACAAGGACTGTTTTCTGGAAGTAAAAGAAAAAACAACAAAATTAACTATCCAGTTTTGACTAGAGCACGTCTAATTTTTTAATCTCTAGGACGGGTTATTTAATGAATGTTTATGCATCACAAACAATGTACAAGTGTCACCTATATACAACCTTAAGCACACAGTTTCAACTCACAATCAAGCTCCGACCACGTCATGTAGCGCAGTCAAACACATAGGCTTCTCGCTGACAGCTGGAACAGTACTTAATATCCTAGAACACTGGGAAAATATAGTAAATAGTTTCCCATAGTGTCGTTTTAATATATTTTTCCTTATTCCATTACGTATGTCTGTTCTAATTGAAACTTTTATTTCACGCTATTGTTTAGTTAATATGGACTATTGATTCTTCACTTTCAATTATTTTAGGTCAATATGGTGAGTGGTTACGGTCCAGTACCACCGGTTCCAATGCTATTCAAGGTTATGGAAGGGTTGATTATTGAAAGAAGCGATGCTCTTCATGCAACCCAACATGGTTTCAAAAACAAGCATTATTCATCCGATGATTATGAATAGGAAACCTGCATAACTTGTTAGGTCTAGATTCCGATTCGCGTGATATTCCCCTACTTCGGAAAGTCATTCTAGACTGAACTGCGTGATATGCTCATAATGAAATTCATAACGATAGTTTCAATGACCCGTTTTTTCTTCAGCTTTCTAGATTGCCTGGAAAGCTGAATGTTCCACATCAAGATAAATAGGGTTCGTGGGAACTAAAGGGCCTCCATATCAGAATTTTCATGGGAAACCACTCTAGGATAACTTTTCTTTCTGATTAACTGAGCCTAACATATGCTAACAAGATACCATAAAGAGCAAAAAGGATTCGATTAAGCTCCAAAAAGACCTGACATCGTAGGTAGGTTGGTGGTGGACATTTGGTTTAAAAATAACTTGTCAAAATGTCATGTTGTGAATATTCAGCCTTATGCACCTTATTTCTTTCACAATAGCACTCTCATGATTATATTCACAGAGTACGATGATGGATAATTACCCTTGGGATTCTTGACACTCGTAAAGACGGTGGGGCTGGAGCTGAACAAACAAAATTAGTAATTTCATATGGGAAAAATTTAATATTTTTAACCAATAACCGTTTTTAACTCTCCTTAAAGAGACACGCAACATGGTGGGTGATGGAGCTGAGAGGCAAATCTTAGGTAGGTAGAACTGGACTTCTGAGATCGTTCCCCCCGGGTCACAGGAGAATAAGGAGTCGATTAGCAATAAAATACGATAAAAAAGGGAAACCAAGTCGTCCTAACACAAATGTCATACTGGAACCTCATCACCATTCCTCAAAAAACGATCACTATGGAGTGAATACCAGGATGAAATCAAAATTTCCACATTGAGAGTTTCCTCATATGACAACCATATACTTGCCAGTGGACTACCGTCTGTCTCTCGGACTAATTACACATGCCTCCCAAATCATCTACATCTATTAATATTACAACATATCATTAGCCTATTTCTATCCGATTCGTTTCGTGTTAATAACGTTCATCTGTTATTCCTGCACTACTGTCCATTCGTTTGTTTGCGTACTTGGTGAATAATCCAATTTCTGACAGTCAGTTTTTCTTTCACTCTCACGTATCTGAATTTTTTTCTAATTAAGACTAACTAACATCCTGCGTGATAATGTTTGACATTTGCTAACCCACAACTACTGGACCCATTAGGACCAATACAGGCAAGTGATTAGAATACTCAATTTGGACGCCAAATAAAACCTAGGATTGTACCGACACAAAGAGAAAAGGGCACAGATAATTCACTATGTGTACGCCAAACTACCAATTATATATTGGATAGCGGAATCAAAGACGTTTGATAAAGTGACATAGGCTGATTCAAGAAAAACGATTGTTCAATAAACGGGAAATATAGGGCAATACACAAAGCGTCTGGAAACATTAAAAAGGATGCTACATTCAGAAATAGGTCTATTGTTCTTTGAAGTCCTTAAAAAATGATTGTCAGCGGAAAATCGGAACGTGTTGTCATAGTAATCAAATCCTACGAGCTAATTCAAAATGAAGGACGGAAGCACCGTTGTATTCAAAAGTCGATATACTGTGATTAAAAAGCTCGGAAAAGGAGCGAGTGGGAAAACTTACTTGGTGGAGGACTTCCACGAATCTCAAAATTGCACGTAATTAATAGTGTTTTTGAATGGACCGTGATCAGGAAGGTTTTGAAAGCTCTGAAGTGCATAAAACTTGATGACAATTCAGAAGCTGTTCAAAAAGATTATGAAAAAGAAGCTCATCTTCTATCGAGTCTAAAACACCCTTATATACTCTGTATTCATGAAAGCTTTGTTGATAAAAATAGGTTCTGCATTGTGTCAGAATATTGTGAAGTGAGTCGTTAGAGATTTTCACTGTATGATTATTGTTTATGAAATTTGCTGACCATTAAAAATATGGCTGTTTCGTCGAATTTGCTTGTAAACGGATATATATTCAGGGTCTATAGACTAAATTGTCTTCTCCCACAACCACTACAGTCCAGAAGAGCAGTATCCTTCTACAAATAATTTTATCCTTCTCGTTTAAATAACCCGAGATCTTTTTTTGATTAATCTTCTGGTCTATATTTTATGGCACTATGAGGAGAGCTTTTTAATAGCTAACCCCTTAAAACGTAACTAGTTGCGTTACTATTCCAAACTAACATGAAAAACCAAAAAATTCCATGCAAACACTGTTTGACTTAATTACGAGCGGTCCACGTTGTGGATTTCCTCAAAGTAGAAAAATTCAATGCTTCTTAGCCTCTATCGATGTATTTCAAGGAGTCAAGTGACAAACGTGATTCACAACAATAAGCAGACGATTCAAAGAGAACCAAAGTTACCAATAATTTAGCGTAGTTGACTACTTTCACACTATCTTACATTGTATATCAAGAGGTAGATTGTTACCAGATACACAATCATATTTCTTAAACATTCTATCCAGTAGACGTCAAAAGTCAGTCAGTCAGTAACAACGTAGAACTTCGTACATATGTACATCAGTTCGAGTTGCCACACCACATTAGCACAGAGATGCATTTGTCGATTCAAATCCCATAGTTGTAGAGGTAATAAGAGTATAAGCAGTAATCGGGAAGATTAGGGTTTGGAGATGTTATTCAAAGAGTATAATCCAGTGAAAGAAATTTGGAAAGAGGAAAAAAGGGACATGAAGAATTCAGAAGATTAGAATTTGGGAGAACACAGAGAGTGGATGCACCTGCGCCATTGCAAACGATTTTGAGCCATGTCATTCAGGGTCTCTAACCATCGGTTGCTGTCATCTCGCGGTCCCCAATCAGATAGTCTACACCTACCAACATGACTCAGTTCACTTGTCAGTGACTTCATGGACTTGTGCCATGTTTTGGTTTGGCCGCCCCTAGCTTTCTTCCAACCTACTCCTATACCACTGAACTTAGCACGTCTTCATAAGTTTATCTGATCTTGATTATCTGGGTGGGTAGAGACCAGAAAACACACTAGTTCACGAAGTTCTAGTTCCCGTTAGTACTATATTATTGTCCTATATATTATATTTTCCCTGATGACTGCACATTTCGTCAACTTATTTCTTCGTCAAATCGTTACAAAAGAAAACAGTATTCAGCGATTATTCATCATAAAAATAAAACGTAGTATGTTAAATTTCAATGGATTAATCTGAGCTAAGATTTTATCTTTTATTTTTAATTGTACTGTAAAACATGATAGGGGGGTGATCTAACCAATTACTTAAAACAAGTGAAGAGTAAAGGAGAACGTATCAGTGAAAAAATTATTGGAAAATGGCTTGTACAAATTATATTGGCCACAGTTTATATGCATAAAAATAAAATACTTCACCGTGACTTAAAAACAAGGTTGTTTTCTGATTTTTTTTCAATATATTTAGTTTTTAATTATAATTTGGGAGTTGGATTTTTTAAATTGTAATTTAAGTCAAAAAACTAACAACGTCATTTTGTCCTTTACGGAAATTTTGAAGGGAATTACATTTAAAAATTATATGATTATATCCATCCATTTCTTAATATTCAGTAAATATGCAATCGTAAACGTCGTTCGGAATTTTCCTATGCATTTAGTGAGTGAATGCCTTATATAAGAGACCATTGTTTCACAGCCTAATTTTCATTATATTTGGTATCTTCCATCCGACATGTTGGGATGCGCTGCACTGAAGTGACCGTAGCATACAGATGTGGATAATTTTAGACACTTCAAGTGAAATCCCAAGTGGAAATTACACTCTTAAATGCAGCATTTTTCCATTCAGTGAAGGGAAAAATGCCTAAAACACTAGATACAGCATGCTCAACAAATATTGGAAAGCAGATGGATAAACCCAATATAGAAGTTCGATTTAAAGAAGGATGATCTTGAAAGAAGAGACGATAATACCTAATTTTAATAAGTAATATATTTCACATATTACAGATTTGGACCTAGTGAGCAGAAAATAACAAGATGGCTATTAAGTATGTAGGTGCCAGGTTCAAAACGCACATTCTGGATTCCACAGCCACATAAAATCTCTCTCTTAAAAAATCTTGTGGGAAAAATAATTATATCAAGGCAATGTACACAGGATGTACATATGCCAACTAAAATTGATCGATATTCAATTAGCAATATCAACAACGTGATAAGCTAAACTCTTTCAAAAATTACTTGAAAGTAGCTTTCACGAAGTGAAGTTTGCTAAAGAATCATCGAGAACCCGAATACACTGGATCTAACTAAGAAAATGTGTTCAACCGGCATATTTTTTTCAGTACCACCGTAATTTATTTTGTTTCCTATGAGTTAGTCCTAAATTGTACACAAAATACATAAGACTAGCAAACAGTTTTTAATGTAAATATAAATAATTGAGGTTTCCAATCAATTTATAACAGCTTGTCGTTTGCAGGCAGTTCCGAATCTTTACTAAAATATTTGAACTCGGAAAGATGTGAATAAATAATTAAATTTAAATAAACAAACCAAAAATTCTCAATAATACTGCAACTGCTTATAAAATTAATGAAGCTTACCTTAAGTATTTATCAAAAGCTAGGTCTTATTTAGGTTGTTATTAGAAATGCTTCCCATGTAGAATGTTTATTGCAGCATTGATCATGTTTATTGAATTAGTTGAGGAGTTGAATTTTTAAGAAGTGATTTGAATTTTCGGAAACGTTTTAGGTAAAACTTATGTTTTAAAATGGTTTTAGTAATATATTTTTAAAGAATGGGAATATTAAAGTTGGTGATTTCGGTATTTCGCGTTCACTGGCCACAACTGAAGAACTGGCAACTACGTTTATTGGGACTCCTTATTATATGAGTCCGGAAGTTTTGAAGTACGAAGGATATAATAATAAATCAGATATTTGGTAAGTTGAACGTCTTATAGTAAATGATTTGTTAGGTGGCTGGTAGAAAATCTTGAACCTAGGTTTCATGTTCACTGAAATTTAACAGGGAAACGTTTTGGTGGCCATTTATCTGACTCCAGTATGATGACGTCCATGTCACCAATTCTCGTATACAATTATCGAGTTAATTCGCGTTAATGAATAACGGGATTAAATAAGTTAAACACAAGAATGGATTTTGAATACGTATGTTTCATGCAACCGCTGATCTGAGCAAACAATCAGGGAAACGAAGCAAAACGGATTGGAAAAGGCATATTATCCGAATCGATTTAACCAAGCGTGAAAATATATTTATAGTCAGACAAAAATAAGTAACAGAAACGTGATGAGTAATATAAGAAATGCACACACATACGCTTATATAGAAATATTCAAGATTGATAAGCAAATAATTAAAAAGGTCAAAACGTGACTCAAGAAGAATGGATAAATTGACCTGTCCGGAAGCCAAAGTAAGCTATGTCGGCTTGATGTAGCGACCGACAGTAAAACGTATCTGCAGTCTTGTAGGAACTGCCGCTACCCAGCCGATCAATCCAGCGTTATCATCATTCATAGATCTAGATGGTGACCACTAAGCTATTGGAGCTGGAATTAGCCTCCCATAGAAATGTGATATTAACTAATAACTGACCGATCAATGGTGACCAATATCATGTTTGTCTAGTTCATTTAGAGACGCTCATATAACAAAGATGGAGTTGAAATGTTTTCACAAATCAGAATGACTTGATATGGCGTGAACTATGTTGAAATGTTGATTGGTAATAAAATGGCATGCAAAAACTTATATGGTGCTCGAAGAGTTGAATTTATTAGATGTCCAGAGAGCTCCAAACACCATTGCATCCTAATCGGTCAAAAAATCTGTGAGTTCCAATCGTCTCCATTTCGTCGTATTTTATTCTTACATACAGGCTATTTTGTCAAACAAAAACAAACTATTTCGTCAATCAGCTATATTTTTGTTTCTAGTTAGTTTGGGAGAGGAGCTTAAACCACCAACTAGATTTTCACGAGCTGTGGTCACTTAGTCACTTCATGTTATTTCAGTCGATCGACTGTGACAGCACGAGATTTCTTATCCCAGACCATGACAAAACAACAGTTCAAGGCTCTCAGGTATCGACCGATTGTCTAACCGAAGCCAGTCCATTATGTGAGGCTAATAATTCGACAGATTCCACAACTCACTATGTCGACATACTTTCAGTTTCTATGCTTTCACTGTTGCTTCAATGAAGGTTAATTTTCAATTGGGAAAAAGCAGATAGAAAATTCATTAGAAATCAACAACTACGTAACTCGAATTGGAATTTCATGTAGCCTTCTGATTTTATTAAACAGATAACACCTTTTACATAACGCAAACTATCCGCAAACATGTGGTTTAGTATTTCTTATCTCTATCTCTCTCCCTCCGTCATTTATTTCTCCGAGTTATTTCCATGTCTATGACAAGCATAATCACATTTTGGTGATTACATATCGATTTGTCTCTCACTGAATTTGATTAGCACCAATAATCTGTTCACGATCTGTTACAGTGGATGCATAGTTCAATAAAATGTGTCAAATTCATGAAAGTAGATCAGTAAATGAATAGATAAACAAAGGGAACTGAATAGATTTTCTGGAGGTAAACAGAATGGCTCAACTATTGATTAGGATACAGAGAATTAGTTCACACTTCGAAAACGTAATAATTTCAAGTGGCTGATCCATACATTTGTTTCTTAAACAGATTTACAAAATTGAACATTGAGATCAGGTGTTACTGTGTGACTGGTCTGAAGTCGATTTCTATTGTGGCAATTAACTTTCTAGCTTGCATTGTTCATACTCGAGTTCAAGTGTTTTAGCAATGAGACGTCGGTGAACTCAGTAAGTTCAGTGAGAATGAATTTCATCTTAGTTTGATCAAGATACGATAATCAATAATATTGAGATTTATCGAGAAAATGATCACTGCATACTTATGATGTAATTCATAATATTTTAATTAGGCACCTGAAACTTGTATTTACCGTATAGAAGTAAGTTTGTAATATCTTCTGTTTGATGTTTATGTATGTGTAATTGTCTAGTGATGTTCTGAAGTGTGAGTTGTATGTTGTTTGACCCTATTTTGGTCAGAAAATTACCAGTCTAAAATATCAGAGACTACAGCGTAGTGATGTCAAATCACTTGAATTGCTAATCAGATTTCAATTTGGTTAGTAGAATTCGTTGTTCCCTAATAGATTAAATCGAAATATGACTAAATGACCAATCAACCGTAAATTGGTGATTTGCATAACATTTTTGGCGATAGAAATACATTAATCAGGTAAAATGCTTTAGGTATAGGCACACTTATTTGATTCATACGTACTAACACTGGTCTCTCGTGTAACGTGGTTTGTACTATACTTTACTATTAGTTAAGCAGCTTCTGTAGCTTTTTGACTGTTGTATAGGTCAATCGGAATAATTCTGTATGAACTATGCACCCAAAGAAGAGCATTCACTGGAACTAATTTAATGCGTGTTATGTGGCAGGTGATAAATGATCCTTGTCCTCAGCTACCAGAAATTTATTCAAAAGAATTACAAGAGGTTTTAGAACTGTACGTAAAATTAATGAGAATTTTATCCTAATCAAATGCTCTATTTGGTATACTTGTTTTAGGATGTTTATACTATGATATTTTTGTTCGTAAACGTCTCAACAAATTTCCACTTCCTTTGACTAGTAGTAAGTGCTCGTAGTTAAACACTAGCAATAATAAACTAACTTCATTTGCGAGTACTCGGCCAATTTTAAAGTCAGATGACTGAAATGGTTAAGGTTAGTGTCACTGGTTGTAGCTGGTCTGAGACAGTGAGAAAACATTTTTTGATCATAAAATTAATACTTTCACAAAGTCTTAATGAGTATAAATATTTATTTTCCGTAGGAGCCACTCATACTGAGTAACAAAATGTCAGAAAATTTAATTTTTTACTCATTGGGATATTGTAAAAATGTTGTTATTTTATTACTAACACTACTAAATTCTCAGTTTATTTGAAAGTATCAAGTCAAACCTTGTTAATGATACCTATAAGTCTTTTGATTGTGTTACTCTGTAAGGAGTGTTGAACAGATTTGATGACTATTTTAAAAAAGATTGGACTGTAAGTAAATTAAAGTCAGTATATACGCATTGTATTTGTAAAATCATAGAATATTCTAAGTGGATTTACTCAGAGCTATGGCCTAGCAATTTCATCCAAGCTTCTTTCGAATGATTTAAAAATATAATTTATTTATGGTATTATTTCTTACAATCATAATTTAAGGTACCATTTTGTTAGCAATCTGTAGAAATAAGATGATGGTATATACGCCTGAAAAAGACATGAATAGTTTTTGACATTTGACAGACTGATAAAAGCGACCTAGATTCAAAACAACCCTTCAGTTAGTTCATAGAGTAATCACATCAAAACATTTATGATGGTGGACAATTGAATGAATAAATGATGCATAGAATAAGAGTTATCATTTTCACAATATTATTTTGACATGAAATGTGTATTTATACTGAATTGCTTATGAGATAGTAAGCTATTAGCATGGAGATTTAGAAACTTTTCACTTTCGAAACATTATCAACACATAATAACTGTTCATCTCCTAAATCTCTCTTATTTTCTGATCAAATTATTCACTTAATAATTTATTCTATTTAAAAATACTAATTACTATTTAATAACTGTCTTAATTATATTCTAGAATGTTAAAGAAGACTCCCCAAGAACGACCATCTGCTTCAGAACTTCTTCAATCAAATGCGGTTCACTCGTACTTACGTGTAAGTCCATCTCATTCGTACCGATTGTATTTGCTGGTTAGCCAAAATTGATTTAGTCGTATGCTCTTATCATCTCAAATTATTTTATGCTGGATATTAGATAAAACTATTGGGCGACATTAGCAACATCTGATATTGTATAGATGACTACAGAAAACCACAAAGTATGTTGTTTAAATATTTCTCACGACAATGTTCATATCCATTCAGAATTAGATTTCAAAATCTTAGTTTCAATCATCAATACATTAGTTTTTAATTTGTTTTCACTATATATATTATCAGTAAGTTCACGAAATAGTAATGTAACATAATAATGTAACATTCAATGTGTGGATTATATGCTATGAATATTCAAGTAAATTCAATCGGACACCATACTACCTATACTGTTTAAGATTATTTAATAAAAATGAATTACATTTTAGTATTAATATGATAAATGTTTGAGAAACCTCTGACAATTCATTATTAACTTAATAAATAATATGCATGATCATATCAACCGATACTTTTGGTAAGAAATGTTAAACTATATAGGGAGTATGGTATTCGACTGAATTTACCTGAATATCCATAGCATACAATCCACACAATAAATGTTACATTATACTATTATACTATATATATATAGTGAAAACAAATTAAAAACTAATGTATTGATGATTGAAACTAAGATTTTGAAATCTAATTCTGAATGGATATGAACATTGTCGTGAGAAATCCTTAAACAACATACTTTGTGATTTTCTGTAGTCGTCTATACAATATATATATATATATATATATATATATATATATATATATATATATATATATATATATATAATTCTGGGTATTTATTTTAATTTAAATCTTTAGGATTTATACAAAGAAATCATAATTCACATGCAAAACGAATTATCTGGTGAAAATCGGAAGGATGGGAGCGAATTTAATCTGTAAGAAAGCTAAAGTGCATAATCCAAAAAAATATGTTTGTTTGGTTTTCTATTCCTTAAAGTAAGAGCTTGTATAAACGAATATTTCCCCCTAATAGACATACTAGCTTCAACTTATGTCATATGACGCTAAATTTTCCCTTTTAAATTCTGTTAATTATTATCGTTATTAGTGACAGGTAATAGAAAGTAGTTAAACTGTTAAATCATTCTTTTTTTGAGATGTGTTACCGTTTTCCAACCTCATTGTAGCTACTAAAATTTTTTTACAGCCCTACAGTACTATTATCCTGAACGTATAGTAATTCTAACGATTTCTAAATTGAACATATTTGATAACAAGGAATATTTTCAGCCTTATTAATCAAACTGTTTGAGATACCTTTAATAAGTTTAGTCAGTGGTAAAGAGTTTATATCTCGAACAGAAAGTGTATTAATACATCAGAGAATTTCCAATTGCCAAGTGTTCAGTCCAATATAGCCATTTATTCCACTTTTGAAAAATTTAATTGCATACTTACGAGGTTGTTTGAGCGTGTCGACCGCTTCACTTGTCTTGGAAGTCTCATCAGCCCTCGTGGTCTGGTGTGTGACGAAATCTCAGCACGAATACAGAAGGCTCGACTAGCTTTTACCAACTTGCGTCATCTATGGCGCAGGCGAGATATCCGTCTATCAAACAAAGGACGTGTTTACTGTGCAGCAGTTCGTTCCGTCCTACTTTATGGCAGTGAAACATGGCCGGTAAGAGTAGAGGAAATTCATAGGTTACAAGTATTTGATCATAGGTGTCTTCGAAACATTGCTCGTATATCTTGGGAGCGCCGAGTAAGTAATGCAGTTAGGAAAAGGGTACTAGGTAAGGATGGCAAATCGATTGATGAAGTGGTGAAACTTCATCAGTTGAGATGGCTGGGACACGTGTTACGTATGCCCAACGACCGACTGCCTCGACGTGCGATGTTTTCTGGTGTAGGAGTGGGTTGGAAGAAAGCTAGGGGCGGACAGACCAAAACATGGCACAAATCCATGAAGTCATCGACAAGTGAACTGAGCCATGTTGCTAGGTGTAGACTACCTGGTTGGGGACCGCGAGATGATAGCAACCGATGGTTAGAGACCCTGAATGACATGGCTCAAAATCGTTTGCAATGGCGCAGGTGCATCCACTCTCTGTGTTCTCCCAAATTCTAATCTTCTGAATTCTTCATGTCCCTTTTTTCCTCTTTTCAAATTTATTTCACTGTGTTATACTCTTTAAATAACATCTCCAAACCCTAATGTGTCCGATTACTGCTTATAATCTTACTACCTCTACCACTACGGGATTGGAATCGACAACTGCATCTCTGTGCTAATGTGGTATGGCAACTCGAACTGATGTACGTACGTACGAAGTTCTACGTTGTTACCGACTGACTGATTAGTAATTATAATTGTTTTGACATTTCGAAGCTTCAGTATATATAGTTTGTGGTTAGCAGTAGAATTCAGCTTGAGCGTTTCATTCCATTCAGAGCTAGTCGTCTGGACATATTTACATCCTAGTGTTGGCATTTGCAATGAGACTGGGTGCCAGCATTCTATATACTAAGTTAATGAGTCAAGATAGCCACTTGTTCAATCGACTTGAAGACGTTATGACTTGATAATACTTTGATTATTTCAAGTTATGAACGACCGGGAGATTTTTTAAATACAAAACTGGATCTTTCCAAGTCAGACGGTTATTGCACAAAAGTTAGCTATACGGGAATAAATGAAATGGTAATAGAGAAAAAAGGATTTTCAGAAGAGCTCCAATATTCCCCAAAACAGAAATAAAAACGTGATGCAACAATTACGTTTATATAGTAACAGCAATGACCATGAAAACAAATATCCTAATAGCTTGTTAAGAGAGAAAGTAAGCAATTAGTGAGTGGAAAACGTCAGTGTGATATTATGAAATAAAGTCATCAAGGAATTAGTTATTTGTCGAAACTACATTTTATTAAAGAAAGGTGAAAAACCAAATAATTTAATACTTTAATAAGAAATACTAGTATAGGGTTGCAAATTCTCATTGTTGATATTAAGGGTTGCAGTTGATTAGTTTCCGTTACTATACGTTCATCCTGAGCTGGTTTCTTCTCTATAGTCCTTAGTCATTGTTTCTGTAATTTTAGACTTATGTCGTTTGAAGAATTTATTAGTTTACCTGATTCAGTTTTGCACAAACAACAGTCAACTGAAAACGCTGAGAAGTTTTCAATACAATTAAATGAAGAGATTGAAGAGAATGTAGAACATTCAGAAGATCAGTACTTAACGCCACGTCAAAAAATCAAATTAAATAAAGCAACTGAATCAGATAGAACTACTGCAGTCTTAAGGTATTTCAGCACTTATTCTTCTATCAAATTATTAGTATGTTTGTCTATCATATGATGAATCATTATTAGTACTAAGTAAGAAGTACAACCTTTTGGAATCACGTCTTGAACAGAAATACCAAATTTAAAATATAATGTGATCCAGTCATTATAGACGCTTGTTGAGCACGTAATTGCCTGTAATAAACTGAAACCATGTGAAGTACAATGATAAAATTCATTTTCTGGGTAAATATCTTGTAAAATAAATAATTTTGATTTAACCAAGAATAAAATTAGCTCATTTGGTTTTTTACCATACGTTAGACGTTTTGTTCTTAAAATCAAAGAGCTCAGTTTAGTTTGCAGATACTCTATGGTGTTACTTTGAAAGCAATAAAAAAGACGGAGCATTAAATGACTGTTTAGTTGTAGGTTAGAACTCCCTAGCCGTTTGCAAGTACGACTTCATAAGGGATTAAGCACACGATCTCTAGCTTCTTCAGAGAGCACATTACCTTCCGAGCATTAAGTAATAACTGTGTTTAAAATTTTCAAGTCGAGTTTACTTCCAACTTTGCACAATGATCAATACTATCTCGTAATATAGATCAATTTCTCTAACGATGATTTCTTGACTAGTCATTTATGCAGAACATCTCAATATTGCGAAAAAGTGGCTATCAGTGGAATCCAAGGTGCATATTTTGTACTGTATAAATATTGACAGATTGACGGATATGCTTCAGTCATAGTGAATGTTAGTGTTCACTTCAACGCTAAAACAAGTTATCGCAAAAAATCCCACCCATTTATGATCAACATACTGAGTTCGATGTTTCCAATTGTATACTATCCATGCAAGGCTTGTTTTGTATAGTCAGTGAAATATGGTTTCTCATCCTGAATTCCAAATATTTTTTATCATTAACACAAAACTTAATTTTTTTCTTCACTATCTATTATAATTTAGAGATTTAGCAGAACAGCTTACACAGACTCGGAATAGTTTAAATTCTACAATGGAAACACAACTGTTCACCTGGCAGGTAACTTGTTTTTTGAAGCCTATATGATGGTTTGATGAATGTTCTTGAAATTTAATTTATAATCAATCCATTATTCTTTATTCAATCAAAAGTACTTTAATAATAGTACTAGTTCTTTAGTAAAAGGTTTGATAACAGGGATGTTAACAGGTTATCCTATGTGTTGTAGTTTTGCCTACTCTAGAAACAATAAATCGACTAACTCCTTTGCTTAACTCGTCAGGAGATCGATTAAGAACACAAAGTTAGATGTTTTCGATCCTCCGATCAGAAAATCAAAAGGCTAGATGGATGATTGTAGATATCTTTTATCATTAAGATATGTGACTTATACGATTGTAATAGTGAAATGCAATACCACAACGCACTAAAAATAAATCTCAATGAGTGCATAACTAGGACATTTGATACAAAGAAGAGTATCAGTCAGCTGGCTATCATTTACAAAAGATAACAGACAGAAACAATTATTCAGTCAAAAAGGTGGCTTTTCATCAGCTTTGTGCTATTAAATATATACTAACTAATTCACTAAGGAATTGCTACCAAAGTTCCATATTTCTTTTTTTTTACACTTCTTTTTAAGGTCTCATGCATGAAATATGTTCTTAAATGTACATGAAATCAAATTTAGTTAAATTAAAAATAATCATTCGATAAGAAGACAAGTACTCTTAATCTTTTATTGCATAGTTTTACTGTGAGACGATAACCTAGTTGTTGCTTAAATGTACAGCTACAAGAAGATATCTATTGAAACAACTATATTATGTACTGATTATGTGTAAGAATAGTGTTTTTAAATGTTGAAAGTATAAAACTGTTTTTGTCCACGATTATTAAATCCGCTGTAAAGCTAGTCTGTTAACATAACTTTTAGATTTGATATACGTTGAGTGATTGCTATCAATGAGATATTTTATACTTACATAGTGATTTTTCAAAACTCATTTTTATCCCAATCTATTAATATTTGATAGTCCAATCAATTTGATTTTCAGTATGGGGTTGTGAAAATTGTTGGGATCATGAATGGATTTTTTTTATTGTTAACCTAAATGTAACAAACTTCTAATACATTAAGCTATGTAGTAATATGAAAGTTTAAGACATTTCTAGTTTATATAATCTCATTATGACATGCGTTTACTCTATGAAATGAAAAAATACTCACTTTTCTCTAACAGCGTACATTGAAGATCTTACACGAAATGAAATTCAAGGCTTTCAGCAGTTATAACGAGCACGATATTTTCTGGACAATCTATCTTCAAAATACACTATTCTTCTTAAAATACCTAAGTAACCCGTTACATAAACCAATCCGAAATGTTATTAAAACTTTCAAAGAAATAGTTTATTCGGGCTTACTACCCTCAGGGTTGCAAAATGGACTGATAAGGAATATTTTGTATCTGACTGATTTCTTTGGAAGAAAGGAACTTTCGGTTTACTGATGTAACATTTGTAACAGTAAGATAGAAACGACCTTTGGTTTAAGAATTATTGATCAATTGATTGGTTGGATAAATTTATATTTGACTGATTGCAGTTAGTAGAACGCTTATCCAATGCTAAATTTATCCTCATCTCAATGGGGGATTTACTAAAACGGCGATTCTAGCATTTGAGCAAGTTGCACATTACAGTGTTTATATAAAACATGATAATGCAACCTTTGAATAAAAGTAATTAGGACTAATTTTTCTAGTTAGGGAGTGACGAATTGCTGGCTTCAATGTGGAATTCTTTTAGGAACACATTGTTTATCATACTAAAGATATATTTACTGCTATATACAAATCATTAGTATAAGGGATTTATGCAAATCACAGATACAAATTAAATACAAGTGTCATGAATAAAAAAGTATTACGATTAGCTTCAAGTCAACGTTTTTGTGCGTTATGTTTCCAGATTAATTTATTCACAGTGTAAACTTCTAAATTTCCAGCTAATAAACGTTCAGTAACTTACAGTTTATCCTAGATTGAACTTTAATTCATCCATTTTTCTTACAATTTAGAAAGGATATCCATCATTGAATCATATATGGCCTACAATTCAAATACCTACAGAGAAACTGCTAAATGAATTAAAAAACCTTTATTTAGAAAAAATAAACAATGAAACAAGCTTGATTGATGAACTAGATGATGATTTGGAAAATGAAGGTGATTTATTTTGGTCAAAGAAATCAGATTTAAACGGTGAATAAATTCTAATTCATATTTTAATCTAGACAACACTTATTAATATAATTTTCATAGTTTACATCCCCGACTGATCTTAGATAGAAAACCGTTGGAAACCATGAGATGCTGAACAGCTGTCTCATCCAAGTGTCGGACTCTCTAGCAGTGTACACTGCCGACTGTACCTGAGATCGAACCAAGAACCCTTAAGGTCTCGCGGTGAGTGCTTAACCTTCAAACCACTGGGCTGAAATCCAGTTGTGTACATGTTTAACTTCAATCAAGTCGCAAGAATAGGCAACCACTTTCCATTGCTTTTGGTGGGTAAAATCTCATGCTCGATATGGTTGAACTCCAGTGGTCTCATAATCTCATTATAACTCCAACAGTTGCAACCTGATGCTGGTCTTTAGGTGAGCACATGATTATTACTGACACAGAGGGTTTGAGAAGATTGTCTAACTTCCACATTTTACGTCACGGACTGATCTTAGTTAAACAATCAGTGAAAATCAAGAAACACTAGATGGCAAAACTAAAGGTCTTTGATTCAATCTCAGTACGAGTAGTGCTTGTGTACTAACGAAGATTCCTATACTAGGAGAAAACATCTGTCCGGTGCTCCTAGTTTTCAGCAACTGTCTAACTAAGATCAGTTGGTAACATGATTTTTCTACAAACTTTTCTGATTTATACAAAAATAATAACTGAATTTGAGAGAAAAATGTAGATGTTATCAGATTCATGTAGTCTTCTGTTGATCTATTGACATGTTACTAAGATATACAAGGAAAAACATCTGACGTTTACTCATAATTTTATTCACCACCTATTTCCAAATAAATTAACTGATCATTCATGAATAAACATAATGAAATTGATTGTTACTTAATGATCAATTTGTGTAAACATCTAAGTCATGCGAAATGTCAATAATGCCTCCAATAGCCAATGATAATGCCTCTAACTGTGATATTAAGGAATATCGTTTGAAATTTCACAAAAAAATGAATCCTTTCAAAATACCAAGCGCACTTCACTGATTAGTATCGACAGGGCACGACTAGGGTTTTCTACCAATAGTCTCTAACCGCTTAATAGATCACCTATAATTCGGCTTCTACTCAGCTCCATAAGTTGTTAATTAATTAATTGCAGCTTAATGATACTTTGATTAAAGTTTGTAAGGCTTGTGAGATGATGTTAGGTGATTGTAAGCAGTCGAAAAGCAGCTGTGATTCTCGGCTCAGTAATATTTGATACTTGTTAAGAAGATGTACATACAATCGTGAAAAAATCTATTAACTATGATCGTTGTGAATTAATATGGCGCCTCACTGAAGGGAATAAGTATTAAACCTGTTTAACTATTCGTGTGTATATTATGATGCATTTGTCTATTGACACAGAATATGTAAAAGCTGATAAATAAAAGTAACGAAGAGTAAACAGACAGTTATATTACTGATTTCACCGGAACTTGTCCTAATTCACTGTGTAAGGATTTTCACATCTACAAACTTACATGGTTTAGTCCATAAAAATTAGTGATCTCATTCCATAGATATTCAAAAATGGCAATAGGATGAAGTACTATCACCCAGTTCAGTAACATTACCTTGCTCTTTATGGTATTTATGTTGAAAATAAATTACTGATAGAATTTAAACATTCAACAGTCAAGATCTTAGACTAAATTAAACAAGTGAAAATCAGTAGACGTCAAAAGTGTTAAATTATCTATCATGTGATATGCAAAATGATTGAAATCATCGAGAGATGTTGGTAAGTTGCATGAATTTATAGATGGTTTCCATACAAAGCCGTTAATTAGTTAAGTATATTCAGGGATTTTGATCACAATTAAAAATATTATAAATGGTACGTATTTTTACGATCACCTGGTAAGTAATTCTGTGAAGCAGATTTTCTATTCAATATACTTACCATTTTTTATTTTATTTCTAGACAATAAAAAATTGCCAGGTAAAGGTCCAGGTGCTGAAGATGAAAGTCTTGGAACATTTAATTTTTTAAATTCTACAAAACATGGAAATGAAGAAATCGAAGATTTAACCAACAATATGAGTTTTACTGAAATAAAAAATTTTTATCCTTCACCTAGATTAACTAGTCCAATTTATGATTATGTTACAATGGATGAATTTAAAAAACAAGTTGATATTGATAATAACCCTAATATTATTAAAAAGGGTAATAATAATAATCAAGAAGCTTTGTTTATACGTCGACAATTTACGTTTCCAGCAATGTTAAATCAAAATTATGCACAATCAGCAAGACAACTGAGTGATATTAATAGTTCCAAATTGAAATGTAATAGTGGTAAGTATGCAAATTATGGAATTAGCTTGTTACACAGAGAAGTCTAAAATTATTGAAGCTACACAGTTTTTTTCCACGTATGTATGTCGCATCCCTATCAGTAGCACATGAGCTTTCGCCCATGAATCCGATGACATACAAATAGGTATAATTACTCACCTAGGAGCGTAGGTGATCACTAATCCCTTCAAACGTATTTAATACAATAGACTGTCTATTACGCATAACATGAATATCATAGGTACATAGACTTTCGTTCATGCACTTCATGATAAGCACAAGCGCATAAACACTCTCAGGGAGGGTTGATAGTAAACTTTGTGACTTTTTATTTTAGTAATGCCTTCAACCTGGTTTAGGCCGCTGATTTTATTAGACGTAGGGCAGACATTTAAACTTACTTCGCTTATGCTAGTCCAGTGAGTACCCTATGTACATGTCAAAATACAAAGCTACATAAGCTGACGCTTGTGTAAATCATATACATGAGGGTACAAATCGGGCAGCTCTCAAAATTTGAGGGGTTGGAGGTTGGGATCCTAAGTGATCCAGATACAGCAGATTGGCGAATTAGTCCTATCTCCCCCAAGGTTGTCCCTACTACCAAGCAGCGCCACAAGTAGGCCTCAGGTCGAATTTTCATAATCCAACCTAATTTTATGACAGTAAAATGAATAAGAATATAAATCATATTGGCAATTTTAATAAAATTTATAATTAAAATCTCAACTAATCTTATTGATAATTGTTGTTTTAGTACTCGTATGAATTTTACTTCATTTTTCGAAAAAAATCTTTATTTTAGTATTTACTGACGATACCCAACTAATGGAAACTTATTACACAAATTATGATAATGAACTGTTAAATTATACAAACAATTTCAATAAGGAGGATTTAAAAGAATTAATAGAAAATGAAAATATTCTTCAAAATGATCTAGAAGATATAGAAAATCAAGATAATGTAGATTCAACTGAAACATTAAACGATGTACTTGTTTGCATGAAAGCAGCTTTGTGTCACCCTGAAGGTTGGACCATAGAATAGTTTAAATTTATGTTATTATCTTATAATTTTCATGTTATATGACTGTAAATGTTCTGTAATGTTTGAAATAGGTCGGTTAGCGACAGCCAGTTGTAATTAGTGAAAGGTACAGATTAACAATATGGTTTCGTAGTCAGTTACTTATCACGACTTGTTATGTAAGAGTGAAAATGGGAATTTTTTCTGTTATCTGTGATTAACAATGAGTAGTTAATTAGACGAGTGCATGAAAGTTGGGTAACGAGATTATTAAAAATGTTAAGTTGGATTAAAATTAAAAATTAAGTTAAAGAAAGACACTGTTTTTGGATAAAACATAGTAGCAATTAGGAGGATGTATAAAAATTCGCTGTTTACAAAGGTTAATTTTATACACATGTCTTCCTATAGCCTCTAGTGTGTGCAAGAGTCAGATTCTGGAATCATAAGGTAGGCTATTTGAGCTTCTCTAATTAACTTTAAAAGCTGGATTTTTACCAACGTGATGACTTATCAAATAAATGTGACCAGGTAGAACTTTATAGTGTTTTATTTTGTTTTTTGGTCAACCATGAGAGGTGATTTTTAAAAACATGATGATGCATTTGTCTCGTTGTGCATTTAAGAGCAAGAGTATTTGAAGTGGTAACTACTTATAAAAACAGAAGAACTAGGCAATTCATTCTTATTTCGCTAACTCACTGTTGAGCGGTTCGAGAAGGAAGGGCATAATATAACTGCGTTGAATTTACGTCCTGCACTTTTTTATTTTCGACGAATGACCATTTCTCTTGCTATATCACTCTATAACTGTAATTTCGAGAACAAAGTTTCATTCGGTACCGTCAGTGATTTGACCTCATGTTTAGTTCCAGATATTTGTTTCGTTCAAATATTTTACGTGGATTCGAATTTACTCAGTAAATCATGAATAAATTTTAGTTCATCTTGAAGAGTTCATCATGACAAGTAATTTTGGCTATGTGAGCTATGTACTTGAATAAGTTTCTTTTATATTGTATTGGGACAAATCTGAAAAATGTGTATATCTATTTCATTTAGACGGTTTAAGATAAACATATTTTCTCATTTTCCCTCCAGTTCTTTTCGTCAGTAAAACGTCACAGTTTTCTTTTTTCTTAGTGAAAGTGATTGATTAGGGGACTCTGTTAAACGTTTCTGGTAGGCTCTAAGCTTCACTATTGTTTTTTGTAACTAGAAAATATATCATACATATAGCAAAAATATAATCTTTCGGGGTTCGTTTTGTTGATTTGATCGGGGTATATTTTTATGATGACAGTTTTATTCTTTAAATGTAAATATACAACATTATATTAATCTTTTAGACAGTAATACAATAGTCTTGGATGATGAAGCTAAGACCATATTTAGTCCAGAGGCTAAAGCCAAAAGAATTGATGCTTTAAAAAAGTAAGCACTATAATTCATTATATCAAACTATTTCTCATATTTTTTAAAACTATTTCGCTTATTAGTTCTTTTGATTAACTGTGAATTAATACGTGAAGTGTTAACACTCCAATGGTTTATATACCGATGAAGCAGTGCCATGCTCTAACCTCTGGGTTACCGATTTCCTAACGTAAATTTGTTTCCATAAATTTTCATATTTTGAAATCATTTAAATGAGTTTATTAAGTCTGGTTGCTGAGTGTATTCGCTTTCATAAAATTTTTACGATCAATCTTGAATTTAGTTACTCCGAAACTCAACCAACTGCTACCTTGAATCAGAAAAAACTGGAAGCGCTCACACTTAAACGTGTTATCAGTTTCTGAAATTACTATCTATTAATCTGAGTCACATGGGTAGATAATGGGGTCCACACGATAGCCGTCATTAGTAGTCGAAGACTTCGGATGATATTACTTAGAAGCGGTCAAAGTGGAGCAGGTGCATTCACTCATTATCTTTATCTATATTTCGATTTCCACTATTCCCTCATAAATACTTTTCCACTCTGTCTTTTGGAATTGTATTCTCAGTGTCCGATTTTTTCTGTCATCATTGATACTGTATAATTTCGATTGTTTTGCCTTTCGTCTTTTTAAATTTTTCTCGTCATGCTTATATGTTAACCGAACGGACATGCGTACCAGCTTCTACTTTTATCATGACTGACTGGCTGTAGGATAAAGTGATCATTATTATTGATTTTAATAATTTGTGTTTTGTATAGCTAGCAGCATCAAATTTATGACATTGCATAAAAAGATTTACAGAGAAGCTGACATGCCTTATCAGTTTTTGAATTATTTTACGAAATATTTCATCAGTTCTCGAAATGGCTGTGTGTAGCCATGTTTGTAATCATAAGAAGAGATGAACTTAGTATTCTAAAATGTTGTATAAAATATTCATCGGTTAAAATTGTTAAACTTTGGAGTAATCTACCGAAATGATATTGAGACAAACACTCTCTACAACCCCTATACTGACAAGAAACAAATGCAGGTGCATTCAATTGACGAGTCCCAAATAAGACGAAACGTGCTTCTTAAACATGACCCATAGCCACATCCCATCCATTCCTTATGAGCAAGAAATATTTTTTGAAAGGAGAAAACAAAACCACTGTCAAAATACTGGGGATATAAACAATAAAGAAATAATCGGATGGTATTTTTACTATCTAATATGTTTTTAGTCACTGGTTGCTAATATTATTATTCACAATCACATCAAAGAAGTCTTGTTATTTTAAAATTATTTCAATAAAAATTCATTGGCTTCATAAATGAATACAATAAGTTCATCATTAGCTCATAATGTGCTGGCTAACTGCTATCGAAATTCATTTTTATGATAAACATACTCGGTATGACAAAAAAAGCAGGAAGACTGATAATTACAATCCAGTATAAAATAGATAATTACAATAACACAATTTTCAATTATAACATAAATCAATTCAAAGTAATAAATAAACTTTGGAAAACTAAAACAACTAATATTTGGAAAACTACTGTTCTAAATTTAAAATAATTTATACTTTTATAACTGCATAAACTTTAATAATTTTGAAACAATGCCAAAAGTCCTTTACCTTTAACAAATAATAACACTAAATTCATTTTAAAGTCTTTTTTTTTAATTCCAAGCAATCGATGATGCCGTTAATTGTTGGTTTGATTTATCTAAAGAGAATTACCTGTTCCATAGTTTCAAGTTTTCTAAATTTGTATGTCAATCATATAAATGTCACGAAACAACTTTCCTACAAAACCTTAATCATTAGAACTATCTACAGTTACAGATATTCGCGAATGTATATAGGAGGATCGAGTCCATTTAATTCTAGCTTTGTAAATGTTTAATTACCCATCTTCGAACCCACTTCTTTTTTTTAAGCATAACTGATTCGTATTAGCAGATAAAATCAAATTAGAAAATAAATTCAAATGGTTGATATTTCTCAAGCTTGTAGTTTACTGAACAACGGCTGTGTTAGCAATTTCTTAAACCGAAACGTGGCACATTACTCTAACGTTTCATCTTATGATCTTTCCATACATATTTAGCTTGTAATAAAACGTATCGTACATTTTACATAAAGGTTGAATATTAGAATTCGATACGGTCATTTACGATTATCATAATAATGAGGAAGACGATTTTTGAAGTTAGTTTTCATCATTGAATAACGACTGGATAAGCAATAATGAAGTTAACTGTAGGGTACTGGTCAACAATAGGAATTGATATCCATCGGTTCAGGTGACTGCAGCATGTGCTACGTTTGACAGGCCATCACATGTCTTGATGTACAATGCTTCTTGGGATAGAAGTTGCTTGAAAGAAAACTTGAACCAATCAGAGTAAAATATAGCATCAGTCCACGGGATCACTGATTATTGATCATTAAATAGATCCTCAGTTCCAATACTACTTCATACTTCTTTACTCTCCTAAGTTTGTCTCTCTTTTTCAACCATCTCCCTATGCTTAGTCTTAACAGTATTAATACTATTATTATTTTAAGTCCTTCGTTATTTAACTTGTTAATTTCATCTTGCTGTATCAGGTCAGGTGCTATATTTATTGTGAGTGTCTTAATAACACCATCCAAGAAACCATTGAAACTGAGGAGCACTAGATATCTGTTTCATCTTACTTTGGCGCTTCTCAGAATTACACCCCAGGGACCCCACAAGGGATGAAATTCGGTTTATCCGTGATAAGAAATAACTTCTAAACCATCATCCAAGTGATGGTGAAAGTTAAGTTCAAATAATTTATTCATGCTACACTAAAAAATAATCGAAAATCGTTCAGTAATATCTAGATTAAAAATATATCCTTTGTATTTCAGATACTGCATCGACAAACTTGGAGAAAAAGAATTTCACAATGCATATCACTATCTTTATCAAAAACGTATTTTGGAAAAAAATCAATCTGGTGAACTAACAATACTAAACGGCTTAAAATCTTATTGTTCCGATGTAACTACCGGGTTTCTACTTGATCATTTATTATTTCTTGAAAATGATGCAGTAAAACAAACAATAAATATTCAATTATCTGAATCTGTGCATCAAATCTTAAACGATGATTTGTCATTTTATGCGTAAACTAAATTACGTAAACATAACTAATTCATGGCTGTGAATTTTATTTGGATCTCTGGTTTTTTTAAACGTAGACTGTAATTCCCATTATTTGGAAAGTTTTCCGTTCTATTCCTAAGAATAACAGTTACTATTGTTGTTTACTTTTTCATAACCTATTTTATTTTATGCTCAACAACTACTTGTCTTATAGATTTTATACCCTGAAAACATTTCTTATTTTGTAGTTTCTATCCTAATTTGAAATAATTCCATCCATGAATAAATATACGGTTTTAGAAATTACCATTTAATAATCTGTCATTTTTTATTGTTACGCTTGATTATTAAACAAATGGTGTTTTTGAAAATAGATTTCCATTTTTCAGATAATGCTTTGAGTTTAGAAATAGTGGAGCAGATGCATTCACTCTTTATCTTTGCTTAGATCTTATGTCAGAAGATCATTAAACTTTCGATAGTGATATATTGTTGTCGTTGCTTACTACTATACTGACTACTAGGTTCTTTGTATTGGATAAACCATTAAGAGTTTACTAAGTAAGCATTTAAGGTTTTTGCTTGTGAAAAACGATGTGCTATGGCAAATCCCATAAACATCCAAGAAGAATGGTTATTTCACAAAGCAATAGACAGCCTTCCCTCTATTTCTCATCTAGCAGTAACTTGAAGTCGCAACGTGGAATAATCAAATAATGTTGTCTTACTTCTTTTTCTAGCAGCTTAGCCAGCCATTGTCAGGGGGTCAAACAAAAGTAACGATCTCCATCTTATGACAGGTAAAATAAACTCCCATACGTCAAAAAATTAACTTTAACTAATTACATCTGATTCTAGTGGTCCATATACTTGGACTAAGGCATAAGCTTGCTACCACTACTGTAGTGAACAAGAACACCACTAGAGACAGTCGAATGTATTCAGCACAAAATTACAGGACTTGTTAATGAAATCTAACAATCAAATAGTAAATACTTAATTTGCGAAATCTCCATCAATTGTCTCATAATGACTCAGAATTTATCGTTCTTGCATTTTCATACAAATTGCATTCTGTTTCCATTCTTTACTGTTCGATCCTCTTGTCTCTCTGCTGCCAGACATTCTGTTCACGACTAACACCATCTACTACTTCTGTAAATATAAGTAGCACACACCACACTACTACTATTATTACTTCTTGATTAACCTTTCTAATGAGTAATTTTCAGTAGATAAGTGTTACATGTCAAAATAGTCATATTTAATCACTGGATAACCAAAACTCTATAGTGCACCATGATGTGACTGATCAACAGTTAACTGATAGAATAATGTGGCTATTTTAGTTGACAAAAAATATTCAATTTATATCTCTTGACAGTCCAGTTGTAGAAACCATTTACTGCTTAACTCTCTTCATAAACATACTGTTACATTAGTACGGGTGCCGGAAAATAACCAGTCGTAAAGACTGAATTTGAGTACAAAATAACAGTATATGTGTAAGTTAAAAAACACATTAAATAAAGGATGCTTGAAACCACCGTGCAATTATTGTTTGACTAGTTTTTAGTTTACTAAGGATAGTGTTTCCAATAGCTAAAATGTCAATCATTGTAAGAAAATGATACCGTGTTCATCGAAAGCTTTGTGTGTTTTGCTTTATTTATCCTTAAACATATTATAAACAGACAATTCGCGAGTTTGATGGACTATTTAAAAGAGATATAAATCATCTGGAACTCGGAAAGATATATTTATTGGATATCCAAAGAGCTCCAGACATCATTGCATCCGAATCGGTCAAAAAATCTGTGAGTTCCAATTGTCTCCATTTCGTCGTATTTTATTCTTACATACAGGCTATTTTGTCAAACAAAAACAAACTATTTCGTCAATCAGCTATATTTTTGTTTCTAGTTAGTTTGGGAGAGGAGCTTAAACCACCAACTAGATTTTCACGAGCTGTGGTCACTTAGTCACTTCATGTTATTTCAGTCGATCGACTGTGACAGCACGAGATTTCTTATCCCAGACCATGACAAAACAACAGTTCAAGGCTCTCAGGTATCGACCGATTGTCTAACCGAAGCCAGTCCATTATGTGAGGCTAATAATTCGACAGATTCCACAACTCACTATGTCGACATACTTTCAGTTTCTATGCTTTCACTGTTGCTTCAATGAAGGTTAATTTTCAATTGGGAAAAAGCAGATAGAAAATTCATTAGAAATCAACAACTACGTAACTCGAATTGGAATTTCATGTAGCCTTCTGATTTTATTAAACAGATAACACCTTTTACATAACGCAAACTATCCGTAAACATGTGGTTTAGTATTTCTTATCTCTATCTCTCTCCCTCCGTCATTTGTTTCTCCGAGTTATTTCCATGTCTATGACAAGCATAATCACATTTTGGTGATTACATATCGATTTGTCTCTCACTGAATTTGATTAGCACCAATAATCTGTTCACGATCTGTTACAGTGGATGCATAGTTCAATAAAATGTGTCAAATTCATGAAAGTAGATCAGTAAATGAATAGATAAACAAAGGGAACTGAATAGATTTTCTGGAGGTAAACAGAATGGCTCAACTATTGATTAGGATACAGAGAATTAGTTCACACTTCGAAAACGTAATAATTTCAAGTGGCTGATCCATACATTTGTTTCTTAAACAGATTTACAAAATTGAACATTGAGATCAGGTGTTACTGTGTGACTGGTCTGAAGTCGATTTCTATTGTGGCAATTAACTTTCTAGCTTGCATTGTTCATACTCGAGTTCAAGTGTTTTAGCAATGAGACGTCGGTGAACTCAGTAAGTTCAGTGAGAATGAATTTCATCTTAGTTTGATCAAGATACGATAATCAATAATATTGAGATTTATCGAGAAAATGATCACTGCATACTTATGATGTAATTCATATGACCTAACTTAAACTCATTCAAAGTTCATTAATTAAAGGTTTATCATCCACTAACTACTTTTCGCAAAATAAAAGTTAGCTACATGCGTATAAACAATCTTCACTTTGTTTTCTGAATACATACAACCGACGGCAATGAATGACGACCGTGTTATATCTCGAGCTAACTGAGATTGGAAAAGTGAACCATCGGGCACTAGATTGGTCGTTTATAAATAACATTTTAAACGGGGCATCTGGAGGCTCTAGGTGTGAAACCTGGTGAGTAAATAATGCCATAGACTCCTATCTATGATAAAACTATTGGCTAATACTGCCTGGTTTTAATTATTTTTAAGATAAAGTTAGTCAATGATGAAAACTGTCTCCCAAATTGGTTAATCACAATAGCCTTCCTATCGTAATAACGACAATTTTAGTTGGATAGTTGCCCAGATTTCTGGAGTTCCTTCATATGAGCACATGAAGGAGACTTTTTTTAAGTTAACCAGAACAAAACTGTTATATCTATGTAGTTAGTTATCATTCAGACAAACTACGTCAAAGGAAAATAACTCAACACAAAGGCTATTAATAACAAACACATTTATATTCTTGTAAGCGTTTTTTAGCGAGTTAGTTTTCCACGGGATGGGGTCGCTAACCCCATCCCCAACCCTCCTCCTTTATCCGGGCTTGGGACCGGCAGTAGCCCCCGGAGTGACTCTAGGTGGAGGACAGAGTGGGTTGGAGAATGCTGGTCGGCGGCCTATGCTCCATTAGGAGTAACAGGCGTAAGTAAGTAAGTAAGTAAGTAACTACATTTATATTCAATGTTATAAGTGAGAATATTTAATAACAATTCAGTTCTTGCTAACTTGCTAACTTTGATCTGTTATTGTTCTGTTTGCTAATCACTTAAATTGAACTATAAACTGCTCTTTCAAAATTTTTCTATATAATTCTGATACCAATTAAGTTATTACCAAAAATGATTATTGTTATCGAAACAGTGCTAAAGTTTATCTCTGAAATCAAAAAATATCACAACTAGATTTTTATTGTATTTTAAGGTTTAAACTTGTGAAATAGTCATTTGATTTAGTTAACGGAGAACACTTTGTATCAAAGAAATCATGTTTTAAAAAGACAAGTATCAAAGTTCTTAAATAATTAGGTGCTAATATATAAGATGTAAGCGATTACTTCTAAGCTGTGATGCATTTTATCATTGAAATACTTGAGACGGTGATATATATATATATATATATATATATATATATATATATACTCGCCACTTATTTAAATGTTATCGTACAAATGCATAAGCTTAACTTACAATTAAATTTAGTAGGTGTCTTTGAAACTGTTTCAATGTACACAAATAAACATAATAGTTTTTAATTTTTACTTTTAGTTTGATCACCTGGGCAGTTAACTCTGAGTCAACATCCAATGGACAATATCCATTAGTGATGATCCCCGGAACAGCTGGGTGCCAAGCTTTTGCCGTGCTGAAGAATGATCCCAATCATAAAGCGCTACCTGTATGGTTAAATTTGGAATTTTTTGCATTTATAAAACATTTTACTGAGTATTTTAAGTTAGTTAAATGTCTATTTTTTGTGTCATACAAAATCTGGAAATTATAAAACAACTCTATTCTAGATTACAGTATGATCCAAAAACTGGTCACAGTTACGATGCTGAAGGTGTTGACATTATTTTTCCAGGATGGGGTGAAACATGGTCAATTGAGAACCTAGATGAAAGACCAAATATGTTTTCTGAATATTTTGGTTCATTAGTTAATGCTCTAAGAAAAGATCCGTTTTATGTATCAAATTTTACAATGAGAGGCGCACCATATGATTTTAGAAAAGCCCCAAGTAAGACATATTTTTATAGAAAAGTTTTACGCACTTAACGTTTTAGATGAAAACGGTGAATTTTTCAATAAATTAAAAGCCTTGATTGAGGAAACGTATGAAAATGCAAAACGAAGACCCGTTGTCCTACTACCACATAGTATGGGATGCTTATTTGCTCAGTGGTTTTTGAAAAAATGCGATATTCCATGGAAAAAGAAGTATATAAAATCTCTGGTGTTTTCCAGCTGTCCATTCGGGGGTTCTGTGAAAACAGTGAAGATTGAAGCTAGTGGTAAGTACGTTTGAAAAATTGATGCTGACAGTGAATTGTTTAAGAAATTAGTCTGGCTATGAAATAATCGGATTTAACCATATTTATAACAACTCCCGAAATAGAAAGATTACACTCATTAATATTCACACAGAAACTCCCAAAAGTCAGTAATATCCATAAAACACAAAGTAACTAACTAATTATTTGTTGTAAATACATTTTTAGTTTAGTCAATAAATTTGGGGAGTTTAGCTTTTGGTGAGTATCAAGCCATTGTTTAGTATACTGGATAAATGATAACCATGTTTTATTGATGAATTATAAAATGCTGGCGTTCTAGTAAAAAAAAGATTATTATTTAGACAAGTATTGGAGATCTTGTTAAGGCCTTAAATTCATTTAAGTTTGACCTACTACTCAGTTATATATCAGCTTCATGGGTAAAAATAGGCTAAATTTAAAACTTTTAAATACTACTGAAGGGAACGCGTGTTTCACTAAACAGTAATGTTCATTTCTAAGAAATGATACTCTTAAATAGAAGACTTAAATTATAAGTTTGGAAAGTGAATAATTAAAATACATATATATGCTGGGTTAATAATCTTCTATCGTACACTCATGGATAAGTTATATATGAAAAAGGCACATGAGTATAACTTACTTTCTATTATATCATTATTCAGAAATATTAAAATTTGTAACCTGAAATATACATGAACATGAAAACTATGAAATAATACTTTACCCTAACTAGAGATAAACGATTTTTCGGTCATTTCTTCTTTATTCAGACCGCTGAATAGATTTTATTAAGAAGTTAATTATATATCAAATTGATGCATTGTAAAACTACATTCAGACACAATACAAACTGAATACCTAGTTGTTTATTAATTTACTTAAAAATAATTCATTCTGACATGTACATCATTAAGCTCTAAATCTATGTTTTATTGAATCAGCTGTTAGATATGTTTAAAATTTTGAAAAAATTAAAATCCTCAATAGAACTTAAATATCCTTCACCCAATAAGTTTTTATCATTAGGTTATTTGATTTGAGACTCCTTTCCCTGTGTATTTCATTTTTACAATGACTTCCAGAAATTGTTTATACTTGTAATAAATGAAAATATACATGGTTATTCATACATAGTTAGTGTAAACTTTGATAATGTTGACAAAAATCACAAATACCTAGTGGATTTGAGTTTTTTTTACTACTAGTATTCTTTGCGATATCGTTTACTCAAGAGCAAGGTATAATTACTCCAGTTACGCGTAGCTACAAATCCTCTAATGACAAAATAAATATAACAATTTAGTTGTGTTTTAATTTTAAATCTCAATTGAATAGACAGATATCAGGTTTGGTGAATATGTGTATGTGATAAGGCTGAAACCCATTTTAATCCCAAAGATTAATTGGTTAAACGACCATGATATTAAGTGATTTCACTAATCAAGATTGTGAAGTCTTCACAGAAAATCTTGGCATTTCAAACTAAAAGTCATGAAATCACGGTATTCAATGAGTTCCTCACCTTTCATTATATTTAGTGGCATGTAAGTAAATACAAATGTCTACATATTACTGTCATATATCTATTAATAAACTACAAAAAACAATATTTCATATTTGTCGAAAGTTTATCGGCAAATGTTTTATAAGCATGATATGGTTATTTTTTAGGCTGATTACCTGTGAATTACTTTACCGAATAGCTCATTTTAACGATAATCTGAGATATTATAGTATAAAATACAGCATTATCTCTAATAAGGTAATACGTTTACGATGAAAAACTATATACATCAAATGTCAATTACACTTCAATTAAAAAAACTGGAGATTAACCCCGAGTCAACAAAAAAGCAGAGATCGTAATGGAGTGTGAGAAATAAATGGTGAAACAATTCGTTGTTGTGATTATCATGTCACTTCAAATTTTCGTATAATGTTCAAATTATATGACATTCACTATGTAAACATCTTAATATTTTATAAAAACTTATTCATATAAAAGGGTATTATTCAACTGCGGTAATAATACTACTAGAGAGATGATTCATTAAAATGGACAGACAATGCTTTCCAATTTTCACATTATTCTCTAGTTGTTTTTTGATTGAAATATTGGTCTTGCATTGCCTTATAGGTTATGCTCAACTTCTTTTGTTCTCTTTAATAATCCAGGTGATAACTTTGGGGTATTTCTGCGTAGTCCATTAAGTTTTCGACACGTTCAACGTTCTATGCCATCTCTTCCTTTCTTATTTCCTGATTCTCGCTTATGGCCATCATCGGAGCCACTTATTGTCACACCTACAACAAACTATAGCTCAGCTGATTACGAGCGTTTCTTCAAAGATATAAATTACACTATTGGTATGTGACTATCTTTTCTCTTTTCATTTGTTACTACCTTAATTTGGTAGTTATTTTTGTTACTCATATTTTATCAAAACAACACTAGCTACTATATCTACAAACCATAACTTACACATCACGTGAAAACTAAGAGCAAAACCATTATGAATTCACAGTTTATCCATAATCACGAAAAGCGTTTCCCAGTCGACTTCATGATGTTATATTCATAGATAGAAATTATTTCGAACTCAGACTTTGTTGCCTCAATTTTCAGAATATCCATGAATAGTTTTAAATAGTTCTAACAAACTTACTTTGAAGTATTAAAAGGTCTCTTTTTAAAGTGGATACTGAAGAAAATGTTTAAACTATTAAAAGCTTCACACTACGTCATCTTTACATTTATTTTTCTAATTCCGTATTTTGGTTTCTATCCTACTCGTTCATAATGAGCTTCTAGGCTACCAAATGTGGAAAGATACTCACTCCCTTGTTGATGGATTGGAAATGCCTACTGGTATTGATGATATTTATTGTATTCATGGTTCACGTTTATCCACTACCGAAAAAATTTCCTATTCTGCACCCAGTTATTTTTATAGTGGTTTCCCAGATCAAGTACCCTTATTAATTCCTGGTGACGGAGATGGGACAGTCGGCATACGAAGCTTAGAATACTGCAAAAATTGGCCTGGAATTAAATATTACATATTACCTGGAGCGGAGCATGTTCGTATTCTTAGTGATGTTAGACATATTAACATTATTCTCAAAATTCTTAATGCAAATATAACTCATGGATAAACATCAGATTTTGATGTCTGAAGATAAACTACTGGATTAAGTGGACGTTATGTCAAATGAAGCCCATAAACTAAAGAAACGTGTCGAAACAAGTATTATTAATATTGAGCAGGTGTTTTTTGTATTTTCAGTTATTTACTGAACAAAAATAATGCAATTTGACATACTTAAGAAAATCAAAGTCTTGGTTTGCTGTACTTATGATTTTCATTGTCAAGCTTAGCTCAATTTCTGATTATGTGATTTAACTGAACTTTATAGCCATTGCCTAGTCTATACCCAGCCTTTTTACTGTAATATGATTAATTAAGTCCTATGGAGAATGGGTGATTTTCATTGGATGATTCGTGCTGTATCTGTATAGAAAATTCTTGGTCTGTTCAACAATTTGGGGAAATGAATTTTCTATATGACCAAACTTTAATTATTGGTGAATAGAGACAATCAGTTTTGTTGAACTAATTTTCAGGAAAAGTTAGAATATTAGTGGTCTAATTTTTTTTATTGATAAATGGATTTTAAAGTAAGTCAATACTGAACGGTCATCTAAACACGTCGAACAGTTAATCTTGTGTTCGGTGTGAATGAATGTCATTTGATGTAGTATGTTAACGAGATATCACATATGAGACGTATGTACTTGTGTATTATTATTAGTATTAAGAATTCTGTGAAGAAATGTATACTTTAGATATTGACATAAACGTTTTACCTATTACCAAAGTGAAAATACACATAATGAAGCTATTATATAGACGTATGCACTGACAACAAATAGTAGGATAACGTCTTTTGATGTCAGTTGAAATTACTTACAGATATAAACCCTGTTAAACTGTTTAAATAGTTCATATGGTCCACTTCGTTTAACATTTTGATTTTACACGAAATTTAAGTTTAAAAATGTATGGACAAGCATTCAGTGTAAAATGTCACTGAGATTATTCCAAAGACAGTTATTACTTTGATTATCACTGAATATTGGGGGATATATATTTCCGAAAAATTTAAGAATTTAAACTTTGAAAACTCCGAATTAGTACAATTTTTTTAGTTAAAACCATAAAAGTTTTAACTCGTATCATCAGACTTTTAATAAAATAATGGTAATCATTTTGTTGTCGCAACGTCCACGTAATTAAGGAATTTCAGTTAACTAAAAGACAATAAATTGATTATGAGTCTGTTTAAAGTAGAACTATACCATTAATTCTGTCAATTTTTTTTATCCGTATATAATAGTTTACTTTGAAGAGGGAAAAACCAGTACAATGATGATCCTTAGTGAATACCTTATTTGATGCGCGACGACAACGCCCTTTTGAATAAAAGTTCGACAAACACAGTCTTTTAAATAGCAGTTACTTACTTTACGATATCATGTGTTACTTAGCACTACTTAGTGATAGACACACAAACTGAAGAATTTATTAATATTACAAATATTACATTCTTTACACCCACTAACATACACAAAGTTACGTTTCAGTTTTTCATGCATAAGCCATAGTAGTGTAATTTTTGTATTTCTATACGGTATAACAATTGTTTATACGATAATACTAATTTAAATTATTAAATATCATGATCAATCAAGTATGAGTATATTTATAAACATTTTTCTGAAAGTTGTTGCTCCAATAATGGCTTGCATCAACACCTGAACTAAGTATAGGGAGTGAAGTAGTCGAACGCGTTGACAACTTCACTTATCTTGGAAATCTGATCAGTCCTAGTGGGTTGGTGTCTGACGAAACCTCTGCACAGATTCGAAAAGGTCGTTTGGCTTTCGCAAACTTACGTTGCCTATGGCGAAGGTGAGATATCAGTCTATCAATTAAAGGACGAGTATATTGCACGGCAGTTTGTTCTGTTCTAACTTACGGTTGCGAATCGTGGCCATTAAGAGTAGAAGATACTCGTACGCTACTAGTATTTGACCACAGATATCTTAGAAATATTGCTTGTATCTGCTGGGATCACCGGGTAAGTAATAGTGAGGTTAGACGCAGGATATTAGAGAATGATGGTAAATCAGTTGATGAGGTTGTGAATCTTCATCGACTGAGATGGTTGGGCCACGTGTTACGTATGCCCAAACACTGATTACCACGACGTGCAATGCTAACCGGTGTTGGAGATGGTTGGCAGAAAGTTTGGGCGGCCTAACCAAAACATGGCCTCAGTGCTTGAAGTCACTAACTTCTAGTCTTGGCCATGTTGGTAGATGCAGACTATTTGGTTGGGGTTTGCGTGACTATCGTAATCGATGGCTGGAGACTCTGGGTGACATGGCTCTGAACTGATCACAATGGCGAAGATGTATACACTCTTTGTCTTCATTTAAACTATGAGATGAAAACTAATTTTTTCTTCCTATACTATGCAATCTTTCTTTTATATATTGCCACCGCTGAATTAACTACTTCTATGAATCCAGTGTTCATCTTGCTGTGATAATGAGCTACGGTAACTTGGACCGATGCATATATGTCCCTGGTCCTACGTTACAGCTGACTCTCTGAAAGTTTGTGATTGTTTGAAAAATTATGTTGCAACTATTATAATCTTAATAATATACTGAGTTTACGATTTAATACCTTCGACACTTATAAACGATATAAATATCCATCAAACTGATGATTTTAAAAATTTGACGAACCGGACAGTTAGATAATTTGCATATATTAACAAATTTAGGGTAGCTGTTTAAAATCAGTTGACAAAATCATTTCAAACCGATATTGAGCATAAAGTGGAATAATACACTGTTCAAACCTCCCAACTGGTTTTCCGAACAGAGTTCTTAAACAGTCAGTCGGTCTACGAAAATCGCCAATAGTAAGAGAAGAGATACATTATCCAAACATCACTTCTGTTGGACGTCATATCAGGGACAGTGGATAATTTATCCCACTTGTGAGATATAGGCAGGAAATCTAAGTTTCAGTTTAGCGTCCCAACCTTTTCATATGTCACTGAGTAAACATCCAAAATAACGACGAGTTTCCCTAGTGAAATCTGGATAGCTCACCGGTAGAGGGTGTAGTAAAAACAATCTGTAGTATTAACAGGCGTATCTTTTAATGACTATGTGGTGCATGCTACTTGTGCTGACAGGTATAAGCATTATGTAGCAGCAATCGGAAGTGGAATGTCTGGCAGCATAAGACTGAAGTCAAGAGAAGAGGAAGGAAATCGGAGAGCAGTCAAACTAACAACAGAATTCGAGTAATAATGGAGTATGTAAAGATCAATGCAAAGAAGTCGTGTAAGTGATGTATTTACTGTATGATTTTCATTCTATACGAAGGCATTCTGCAATTTTACATAAAACAGTAAATTGGTTCCCTCACTCGAGTTTTCGTTCACTACAACTGTCGAGATATGTAGTCAATATACTGAATTTGTTTGGCACCTCTGTGCTGAATCGTATAGTCATAGGCATTTGGAGCAATACTCCATCGTCAAACCGAAGAAACTGAGGAACATGGTAAGGACTTTTTTAGGACGATAAATGAGCTTTCATGCTTCATTATCTGTAACAACAGTAAATTTATTCCTAAATAAATAATTATGAAGTTATTTAACACTCCAAATAACAGCTGGTGTCTTGCCCTGAGTTTTAAATAACTTTGTTAAGCAACAGTAAGTTCGAGTGAAATACAGTTTATTGGTCCACCGCCCTGTGGTATTGTAGCAACTGATGATTCGTTTGTATTTGATTGCCTGCTTAAGAATTCCAAATTTAATACTTTCAGTTGTGCTCAACTAGTTCTACCTGCCTTAAATTGCATTATTTAGGGAATTCTTGGTTAACGAATCAGTCTGAGTACTTCTAATTATCACAAGCACTCACTGACAAACGTAGGTCTGTAAGATTTTTTGGAGATGGTGCATTTTTTAGTGAAGCTAGCTGCTTAATATCTGGTTTAAAACCATTACTATCGATTAAGTATCCACGATATTCAAAATTAAATACACAAAATGAACACTTATTCGGATTCACAGCAATATTCTTCTTGATTAAACGATGCGATGAATCAATAAGTCTTTGATCATGAGCTACTTTATCAGAACTACGAGTAATGAGATCATATTGATAAACTTGAACACCTTTAAAATCACTGACTAGATTATTCATGACTTCCTGAAATATGGCTGGAGAACAACATAGACCAAATGGAAGGAATTTGTATTTTTTAAAAACAAAGAGGAGCATTAATTCATGTAAAAATAGATGAGGGTTGATCAAAGGGAATTTGAAGGTAAGCAACTTTCAAAACAACTTCTATGAATACCTTAGAACCATGAAGTCGATTAAGTATCTTCAGCTTCCACCGTCGTGAATGCCTGCTTCAGTAAACGGAATCTTGGTGTTAACCTGAAACCTTCACATGTTCTAGGGGTCTTGCCACCAGACTTCAAGGGAGTAACAATAGGAGTCTCCAACGATAAAGACTGAATCGGTCCAATCATTCTTTTCACGAGCAAATCATTCAATATCTTAAGTACTGCTATTTAAAGACCACAAGGAATAGTTTGTTCTTTAAGAAAGATAGAATCGCTTTGTAGTTGGGGTTTTATCGGCTGAATTCTCATCTCTGCACTGCACCTAGCAAATGTGACTATCAAACATTTAAGTAAAGGATCAGAATAGTATTTGGAATCTGATAAAGTCAACTACACTTCAAGGCTTTTAAAATTTTTCAAACCTCTTATTGACGATTCTGTTTCACTAACTAATACTCATAAGTCATGTATGATGAACGATCATCTCAAAACAGCTATTCATACCATCATCGTACAGGCAGAGTTTTTCCCAGTAATCCTAAATACTGAAGCTTCAGTAGGTTGTACCACGTCAGAATTTGAAGGCGTTATGTTCTTGAATGAAATGATGGACTCAATACCTTCTATGTCGACAATAAAGATATGGAATGAACCAAGAACAGTATAAAATCACTCCCAAGTGTGGGAATTATGTTTCGGAGTTTTGGATGCAGATAAATATCCATTAGAAATACCCAACTTAATGAAATCTGAGTATAAGGTTTACCTTAACTAGTGGCAAAATGAGCAATAGTCTCACAAGCAGATTTTACTGCTTTTGAAGAATATAGCAAGACAAAATGCACGTGAATTACGTGAACGAACTGTACCGCATGATTAACATTTACCAAACTTGTGCTCACATTTGTTTACTGGTTTGTAGTTCTTCAATGAATTGCTTCTCGTATTTTCATCACAGCAGAGATTATCGTTAATTAAAAGCCCATCTGTATCCAATATCTTTATCACGAGCTTATATTATCCGAGTGACTTCCTTGCGCTCCCTTCTTGTTGTTTCGGTACAGCTCTAAGTATATGAAAATATCCAATGGGTGGTGGTCTAGACACTAGATTACACTAGTTTTAGTCAGTTTGGTTGTTGTTTGTGGATTTGTATATCTTGTAGCTGAGTGAGCGCGTTGGTCTCAGGTCAGTAGGGCTTCTAGATACAAGTAGTTATCGCATTACCGAGCAGCAGGTTGATTAATTGATTGGTTGATAGTATACACGAAGATGCAAATAAAATAATAAGAGGTGGACGGATATGATAATAAGAGACATGGGAAGTATTTACTGATTTCCAGTAATGATAACCGCCATAGTTTATGGGACGTGCAACAGACACGGCTGGTTCAAAAAAGAAGTTAATCTGTGGGTTAGTACACGTTCAGCGGGGCTCCTTTTAAGGCTATTCACTGATTGAGCTGTGGTCACTTGGGCTTGGAGAGCTTTCATAATGAGGGAACTCTTAGTAAGAAAAGTGAGAGCGTGGTAATGATTTTCTGGTTATATGGTTGTGTTGAAGTGGTTTGACGTACTTATTCTCGTATAGTTCAACAAGAATAATCCCTAGTGATGGAGTCTGTTACCGTAAGATTTATGTTTTAGACCGGTTACCCACTTGGTTGCGCGTCTCTGTATTTGGTCTAAGAGACTTATGTCTCTTTCAAAGAGAGGAGCGCAACAAGACTGTGGACTTCCCAAAAAGTTGGGAACAACTCTAGGGTGATTGCATCATGGTGTCATCGCATAAAGTGGTCAGTTGTCTTTACCTTTGCTACATCGCCCATGTGGTTTGAGCTGGGGTCTCAGCGCTCTGTGGTCATAAACCGGGGTCACGCTCCGAGGAGACAATGAGGAGCGGATTTTCATGGATGGTGTAAGTACTATACGTCAATGGGGCAGAATGTGCACATTGCACTTCTACAGCTTAAGCTTTATCCTATGGTTTACTGCTCACTACTCTATTATAGTAAGGTCCTTTTGAAGCTCAAGTGGATGCTTTTTGCTTTTTATGGACATACGGATCTTTGCATCATATTCACAGATCAGCACCGATAAGCAAATGTTATCCGACAGGTCGGTAATAAAGATTGTGAACAGAAGTAAACATAAAACATTCGCGTCTCTTCGCCTGTGCAAGCTGGAGCCTGCTTGAATATATGGGCCAGCTGTTCCTACCACTGACATATTTCAACAAGTTTTCTTTCTTGTTAAGTCTAATACATTAATATGTCTAATTATTGCATAACCCATTGAAGC